GAAACCCTTATGGAGTAGGGCATTTACTACAGGGTCACTTGAAGTTTGGCTCAATAAGTTTGCCACAAACTCTGATTTTTAATCCACATGACGCTATGCTTAAACAAAGTTCACTACTAATAATGAGTCGTACTCAATCTGTTATAACCATTAACCATAGCTGGGAAAGTTCAGACGTTTTTTTTAACCCGTTCTTTGAGGGTTACCAAAAATTGTTAAAAGGCTGATTTTTAGAAATCCATTATTTTATTCTTCATTTATTTCCGTTTGAATCTTCCGTAAACTTTCAAAAACTTAACTTTAACAAATAGTAATTTAAAGGATTTTTTGTTAAAAAATATTTTTTTTAATTTATAGAGTAGAGTACAGGGCGGAAAAAAGTCTTGTCTGTGAAAAAAATATCTGAAATAGCCTATTACTTGTTTGTGACTAATGCTACAGATCTAGAAACTATATTTTTGAAAAGCCCTTGAAAAATGCATGTAGAAACATGTGTAACCATTTGATATTGGTTAAAAGCAAAACAATATTTTTTGTTCATTTTGTTGACCCTTTTTTAAGCATTTTTTTCCAGTACCCAAACTGTTAAAGTTATCGGTCAAATTTTTTTTCTTTTAGCTGGCCATGAAAAATTGGGCTATGAACATGCATTTCAACCCTTTAACTATTCTCTAAGGCCTTTTTTTAGGGCCCCAGGCTGTAATTACAAGCAAAAAAAATTATAATATAGTTTACTGTATAATATTGATTAATTAGTTTATCAGTTTTCAAAGACAACAATTCCACCCGGTACAATACTCAATTTCCTGACAGGTTTCAAAATGCAGGTAGCTACAAATTGGAATATGNCGTGTCAAAAATTGAAATTAGTATTAGAACAAGGGTTTATTATGTATATGATCTATTTATTATTATTATTGGTTGTGGAAGACGACGCCTGGCCGTGTTAAACAAGTTCCACAAGATTCAACAGAATGAGATAGAACGGATACGAGGCATAGTACTGATAAACATCTACATGTGTGATATCGATATTGACTCTAGTTCTGAACTCTCTAGTAATAAGTTATAAGAAATATCTATATATACTGGAAGTTATTTATACGTTTTTATTAGAGTCTGACTCACGTCCTCTATAAAGTATTGATTTCATCAACATGGAGTATTGAATTCATAAACAGGGAGTATTTATTTAATAAACAGGGAGCATTTATTTCATAAACAGGGAGTATTTTTTTAATAAACAGGGACCATTTATTTCATAAACAGGGAGTATTTATTTTGAAAACAGGAAGTATTGATTTCATCAACATGGAGTATTGAATTCATAAACAGGCAGTATTAATTTCAGAAACAGGGAGTATTTTTTTCATAAACAGGGAGTATTGATTTCAAAAACAGGGAGTATTTATTTCAAAAGCAGGGAGTATTGATTTCATAAACAGGGAGTATTGATTTCAGAAACAAGGAGTATTCATTTCATAAACATGGAGTATTGATTTAAAAAAAAGGAAGTATTGATTTCATCAACATGGAGTATTGAATTCATAAACAGGGAGTATTAATTTCAGAGACAGGGAGTATTTTTTTCATAAACAGGAAGTATTGATTTCATAAGCAGGGAGTATTGAATTTATAAACACAGAGTATTGATTTCATATACAGGGAGTATTGATTTCATAAACAGGAAGTATTAATGTCAGAAACAGGGAGTATTGATTTCATAAACAGGGGTAATTCATTTTATAAACAGGGAGTATTCATTTCATAAACAGGGGTAATTCATTTCATAAACAGGGAGTATTGAATTTATAAACACAGAGTATTAAATTCATAAACAGGGAATATTGAATTCATAAACAGGGAGTATTTATTTCATAAACAGGAAGTATTAATGTCAGAAACAGGGAGTATATTGAATTCATAAACAGGGAATACTGAATTCATAAACAGGGAGTATTGATTTCATAAAAAGGGAGTATTGATTTTATAATCAGGAAGTATTCATTTAATAATCAGGGAGTATTGATTTCATAAAAAGGGATTGCTGAATTCTTAATCAGGGAGTATTTCTTTAATAAATAGGGAGTATAAAATTCTTAAATAGGTAGGGCTGGGCAAAGTTCATTTAACGAACGGCAAAAATAATTTTTAAATGGTGAATGAAACTGATTAGCCATTTTAAACAAAAAAAAATTTTCTGCTTAAAATTTCAACGGTTGAGTTGTTAACGTTTTCATTAACCGAAATTTTTTCGCCGCTTAGCAGTAATTAAATTGAGATTGTTAACAAATAGTAACTTTAAAAAATAATGGAAAAACTGTTAATGAAACAAAGTTTGTTCTCACCCTCTGAAAATATGAGCTGGCGGGCTACCTGAGATTTTATTCTAAAAACTGTTGAAACTTGAGGAAACGGCTTGAAAAAGTTGGAAGGTGCCCAGCCCTATAAAGAGGAAGTATTGATTCATAATCAGGGTGTATTGAATTCATGAATAGGAAATAATCATTACATTTAAGGAGTATTTTTTATCTTTGCCCCCTCCTGGGATTCTCTGACAAAGGTTAAAATCAGGTGGGGTAGATAAAGAGTCTGCCTCTATTTGAAATTTCCTAGATTAACTAAACTCTTTAATCTAATTTCTTTCCATGCATATGCCCTGTACAGTACTAGGTACAATGTATGCCCTGTACAGTACTAGGTACAATGTATGCCATGCTGCCCATAAATGTATACTGTCTTAAATCACTTTTGAAGTATAGCTATTTTTGATATTACCACACCCCCCTGTGAAGCTATTTTTGATATTGTGCCACACCTCCCTGTAGAGCTATTTTTGATATTCCACACCCCCCTGTGAAGCTATTTTTGATATTGTGCCACACCTCCCTGTAGAGCTATTTTTGATATTATACCACACCCCCCTGTAGAGCTATTTTTGATATTCCACACCCCCCTGTGGAGTTTTTTTTTGATATTATACCACACCCCCCTGTAGAGCTATTTTTGATATTACCACACCCCCCTGTGGAGCTATTTTTGATATTACCACACCCCCCTGTGGAGCTATTTTTGATATTACCACACCCCCCTGTGGCTTTTTTCCATAACTTAAAAACGACTTACACCAGAATACTAAAATTCTTCGATTTTTTTTAAATTTCATAGTTGAAAAAATTTCTTAAAAATGTTATCTTTTTTTAATTTACTAGAAATTCAAGGCGCTTCGCGCCCTTCTTTCTAGCCTTAGAGGGCGCTTCGCGCCCATCTCCTAAATTAATTGTGAACATGTTCTCTTTGTGTACATCGTAAAACTAAACAAAAATAATTTGCGGATTTTTACAAAAAATTTCGCGGATTTTCAAAATTTTAAAAAATTTAATGACGATCGAATTTTGATAGAGACAAATATTTGAAATTTTGATGATTCATAAACCTTCCCTGGGCTCCCTAGATGTCCCACAAAAAATTTGGGCCCGATCGGTTCAGCCGTTTTGACGTTTATTGGATACAAACAAACAAACAGACAAACAAACAAACAGACAAGCCAAATTTATATATAGATAGGGTAGAGTGAAGGACAGTCGGTCAGTGTAAAAAAATCTAAAATTCTAGAACTCTTTCAAAGGTTAGCCTATAGATCTAAAATACATTAATTTGAAAAGCCCTTGAAAAATAAACGTAATATGTGATTTTTGTAAAACCATTGAAATTGAAGGTATAATTTTTTTAATGAGCTGGCCTTAAAGAATATTGGACTAGAGATATCTTACCTCTATGGGCAAAATCTGAAAAGGGTTTAAGGCATCTGTTAAAAAATCTGTGCTTCATTAAAATATTTATTCTTTTAATATTGGCTTGTCAAAATCTTGCAATCCAATGAATGTAAGTAGGTCTATCATAAATTTAGTCTAGTAAAGTAAAAATTAGGCATTCAGGCAATATGTATAAAAGCCTAGTTATTAGACAAAAGTAAGGTGCTTAAGTCAACAAATTTGAACAGCCTAATACTTTTTTTGAGACAGCCCCCCCTCTCAGCAGGAATAGGGTTAAAATTATTCAGTATGGTTTTGATTCAATTATTTATGTAGTTAATCTTTAGTGCAAGTTTGTGCTGGTATTTAAACAGCCATGATTTTAAGTTCTGTTAATTTTTGACGTCAAAAAAATAAAGATACTTTTTATTACTTTAACTGCCAATGATGAGTTTTTAATTCTGCCTGTAAACACAAACTGAAACAGGTATTTTTTGCCTCAAAATCAGTATACTTATTGTCTGGTTGTAAACAAACTCTACATAAAATTTTTAAAAAAATTGTAGATGGTAGCTAGATTATTTAATGAATACAAATATATTTGTCCTAGTAATCTCAAATTTAGATTTATTCATCTTTACTTGTCACATTCTATTTAGTCTAATTAATTAATAACATGGTTGTTTATGGTTCCGATAAAGTGCTCTCTAACTCGTCTTGGATAAAAAAATTAGCTCCTGCTGTCATTAAACTAAATCCTGCCAGACTGAAAAAAACAAGATTATAAAACTAACTATATATTTCTGTTTTTAATAGTTACCTCAAGAAATATGGCAGAAAGGATTCTGTATAAGAAAATACAGCCAAGTTAAGAACACCAATTGTAGCATATACAAGTGAATCAACAGCGCCTATACAATTATTTGTAAAATAGTAAAAAAGGCAGACCTCACAAAAATATCAATATTTTTGGTTTAAGTACAACTCACCTACTAAACCTAATACTGAACTGCTCTGCTTATCTCCATAAATCTTCATAATCTGTAATTACAATTATAAAAATCCTAATTTTTATTTTATTAAAGATATAACATTTAAAAGTAAAAAAATAGCATTTATTGTGAACACAGTCTTCTACTTCTCAGGAAGGTTAGTATTTGGAGAAAAAAATGAGATATCTTTTTGTGTATAAGAAAAACAGATTATTGTAAAAATAATGTCCAGACCAGTTGTCAATAACCTTACCTGAAAAGGAACTGTAATAAAGTGCATAAAGGAGAGGAAGTAACCTAACCACAGTAGAACTACAAACCCCCAGAATGAATACCATGATACTGGGACAGTTAATATCATAACCAGAGTCATTCCTATGCTAACTGCAGGCATCAGGCAGTTAAAGGAGAACCTATATGACAATTGAGTTTAGATATTTAAAGACTATTTTATTACCATCATTAAAAATATTTTACAAAAATATTATTTTTATCATTTTTTGCCTAAATTTTATTTATGTAATTAATTTATATCTTTTTCTCTTTTAGAATTAAGAAAAGAAATATTAACCTGTCAATCAGTATTCCAACTACAATTCTACCAATACAGCTCATGAGTCCATTTATTCCTTTTAAAAGTATTATTTAGTCTTTTTTACTTTTTTTATTTGGATTGATTTAAACTTTTTGTTTGTACTGCGGTGTATAAAATTTCTGTTTGTTGTCTGAACAATTTTTGTTTAACTAATAGTATTCCAAATATTTCTATTAACTATTGTATATGGTAAAAAAAGTATGTGATTATTTTGATTAAGACCCTACTTTGTTTAACTAAGTCAAATCTTTTTTTGTAAAAGTGTAAGGTTAAAAATTAAATGTATCACTGTGAATTATTATGATAAAATTTTACAAAAATTTACCTCCAATAATAGATATCATCTGATCATCAGAACTCAACCGCAGACTACATAAATACAAGAATTTTACTATGAGGAATTAAGGTTAATTTCATTGTACCCTAATTTGATCCTGAATGGCTGGCAGACTCTTTTCTTAAGGCTCAAAAGTAAATCTTAATTTTTGATTTAATTATTTTTCCATAAGGTCAAAAAAACAATCAATTCAACCCATTAAGTCTCTAGTCAATTTAAAACCAAAAAAATATGTTATCAAATGGTGAACCCTTTATTATTTAATAATATGGTTTTTTAATTTACCTAAGACCTTTCCAATGCATAAAAATGCCACCACCAACAACAAGCAGAGCATATCTGAGCAAAATACATTTTTAGATGATTTGTATCAAAGAAGAAGATACTTAGATTTCTGTTAATAATTTGATGTTAAAAACCTGAAAAGGCATTCTGATTCAGACTGGACTAAATTAAAAAAAAAACACACATAGAGATATATGCATTTAGTAATTCTAATAAATCTTTAAAACAAGGAATTACTTATGATAAAAATATTACCTTGCAAAAGATAGAAGATAAAACTCTCTGCTTCTTACACCAACTTTCTGAATATAATTTGTGGAGTCCTTAATCCTAAAAAAAAGAATATTCATATTTCTAACCTTTCAAATTTCTTTTTATTTTACATAATTGTTTTTTATCAAAAAATTCTTTACCTTGTTTTGACTGCTTCAAAATTTGGCACAGGCTTTTCTGTTTTTTCAAGATCTATTTTAGTTTCATCTTTGTATTCTGTACAGAGGAGGAACCCAATAGTAAATAGTACAATGTAGATCCCAGCCATGTACAGTAAAGACAAGGGAATCCTAAAGTTAAGTTTTGTTCAGGTTGACAAAGTAAGATTTTAAAAGGCGTTAACATCTCTAAATATCTCCACACTTTTAGTCATTAGGCCTGCCTTATCAACCCAGTACTTTAGCTTGCTAGTATAGGATTCTTCCTAGCCCTGCAAGGAGTTGTAGGTTGATATTTTGGACAAGACTATTGTGATTTATTATGTGTATATGCATTGTAGAGTCCAGAATTACACAGATTTGTTTTTGTCTTTTTTATTCTGTACAGAACACTAATAATCAAACACACTTTTTTCATTATTGGTCTTATTATTTTGTGCTTTAACGTCTTATTTTATAGTCTCTGTGTGAAAGGGTTAAAATATTTACAACATGTCTTAAAACTGAGACTCTTGATGAAATATTTCCTATGCTATATTTTACCTTTCAAGAACTAGGGGATCAAGGAAATATTTTGAGGTAGAATTTGATCCAGGAACCTCTAATGGAGGAGTATTATCTGAAACATGCGATGTTGAAATATTGCTTGGGTCTGCTAGATAGATTATCTATGTATATATATAAAGCAGTAATCCCTGTTGGTCTATTTGTATGTCTGATTAATCCTCATGAACTGCATTGCCTTATATTTTGTTTACGGAACTTGGTAGAGCTGCCATGTGAATGTTCTTAGCTTCACTGTAATTTTTTTGCTAATCAAAACTTTGAAAATACTTGTCATTCATATTGAATAAATTGAATAAAGGAATTGAGTCTTTGTCACAAAATATGATTTTCAAATCTCTATATCTTTGTAATCCAATGCTGTAGACCTTAGATATTTCAAACTATGAATTCTTAGAGATGAAAAAATCTAAGTTTGAAATATCAAAGGTTTACACCAGCAGGTGGAAAAAATATCGATATTAGCAAATCAGAGTTTGTTATAAAGACTCAATTCCTTTGTAATGTTTTCTTGAATAGCGAGAACACAGCATTATTTTTAGATAAAACATTCAAAAAATTTGTTTAACACAAATTTATTCAAAATTAAGGAATAATTAGTTGCCTTTTTTGACCACCAGTCGGCACAAAAGTGGCACCTTGGTGGCAGGTCCAGAAGTGGGGCTTTGTCATTCCTGATTATTGAATATTTTATTCAATATACCAGAATGGAAATCATTGGCAAGTTGAATTTACCATTGCATTACAATATTTGTATAAAAACTATCTGAATATTTCTAGTTGCAAAAAACAAAAAACAAAAAAAATTAAAAATTTTAATATAATTTATTCAATAACATTGATGTGATTGATTGATTTCGCCATTTTAATAAAATAAACAATCTTGAATTTTACAGTGTAGGTTTAAAGTTTCAAAGTTAAGTCGGCTAACAAGCAAAGCTGGATTCCAAAGATAGTTTTAAAAAAAACATTTCATGTTATTTTTACCTTAAAACCTTGAGCAATTTCCTGACTTTTGATAACTATACATTCTCCATTATACTATTTTTAACAAGGAAATCTAGTAAAAATTTTACTAACCTTTTTCTCTGAAGACTATTTTTAAAAAATAATAATTATAAGTGCCAAACAAAGTTTGCTATCAGAAATTACTTAGCTTACATTAGATCAAGTTTAAGAACATATATTATATTCACTAACCTGGGTTGATTATGAGAGTTTGTAGTGGAGAAAAAACAGCAGGACTCAATCCAAACCCAGCAAAAATAATACCAATCACCAATCCTTTTCTAAATTAAATATTTATTAATGAAAAATTGTGGTTGGACAAAATTAATGTGTTCTCACTGAAATCTAAATTAAAATAGATTTTTTTGAACATGAGTTCTGACAAATTTCAATGATAATAATTATAATTGTTTCTGTTATGGAACTAAACCAATGACCAGATTTTATGACAAAGGTGCATTGTGGAGATAAAATAGATCCATTTCTCTTTAACTTGGTCTTTGCTGTTCAACTATGTCTACCTATTCATTAAATCAAATCATTAAACCAAACAGTATTTTGGAGATCTAACCCAAAGATATAGACACTGTTAAAAGCTTATACATCTATTTACAAATTGAAGATAAACAATTATTTGATAATCTAAATATTAAAAATAGATAATAAACTATATTGTGAAGAGAGGAAACAGGGATTCACTACAACTAATAAACTGAGACAATGCTAATGCTAAACCCCTCTGATAATATCACTAAGCACATTACACAGGCATAAACTTGAAACCTACAATTTTCTTGGTCACTCCTTACCAATAAATTTCTGTTGTCATAAGCTGGATTATTACTGTTAAGTGGTGCTTAGCACACTAGCATAGGATTTAAGGATGAAGGTTAGGACTTTTAAAAATGATGAACTACAACCAACCTAATGATATCTCCATCAATAGGGTAGCCACAAAAAATGAGAATGTAAAGAAGACCCAAAACAAAAATATGACAATTTAAAGCAAGATTTTTGGTTTCTGCATTTTATTGATTATTTTGATGGTTCACTGAGTCAATAAGCAAAGAAATAAGCTAATTTCGCCAGGAAAGTAACCCTAAATGCAAGAATTGGAAGAAAGAAATAGTACGTGAGATTTCTTGTCACTTTCCCACACCTCTGAATACTCTGGAGTAAAGCTGTGAATTCCTTATGGACAGAGTCTATTTGAGTTTGTTCCACAGCAACAGAACGGGTTATAAATTGTAAACATAGTCTTAGAAACCATACTTTCTGTACACTTTTCTAGTTAGTTAAACATTGATATTTGAAGTGATACTAGTGTTTTGACTTTTCCAATATTAAGGTATTTGTTTACGATTTGTGTATTTTCTATGTTTTAAACTAAAGACTGTTCTTATTTGTAAATATAGAAAAGCTTTTAGTCCAGTAAAATAGCAGGTATTTGATATTTCTTTTATTTATGATTAAATTTGTTTTTATTATGCAAAATATTTTCGTTTGATATATTCTTTTAGAAAATTAACCTGTAAATATTTGTCTTATATTAAATAAAGTAATTAGGGTCAATCTTTTTAGATTGAACCCTGTCGGTGTATCCTATACCCAGAGCGCTGATTTACTCGGGATGAAGGTCTAAGATGATAGATAGAGTCAAGAGTTTGTGAGGCAGGATTATCTAGATATTTTGAGCCAGTATTCTGGTCACTTGACAACAAATTCCATACAATGGTTTCTAAAGTTTCATTCTTTGAGTGTAATCCAGTTTTATTTTTAGTTACAGACATCACTATTCACTACAATTATTACCTGTTAGGAAACCAGGAACATGGAATATATTGGCTGGGCATCATTATCAAATTTACAACTGCAGCCGACAGTACGCCATACCTAGTGAAAGGCAATTATAGCTAGATTCGTTTTACAGAAACTTTTAATAGTTTGAACTTTTTAAAGGTTTCCTGACAATCTGAGAAGGGTCCAATGATTTATAATTGTATTCTGAAGAAATTTGCTTTTACCAAACATGCAAATTTTCCTAGGTGAAAATGTAAGGCAATACCGAAGAAAAAATGATCGTTTTAATAACCCAAAAACTATCATGTTAAAACGATTGTTTAGCTTTATATTTCTTTCTAGTGAAACAATTTTGAATGTTTGATAAAATCAAACTTCTACAAAGGAAAGTTTTAAAATGAACCTTCTCATATTGTTGTAAAACTTTTTGAATTTCTAAAAACATTTATGTTTCTGTAAAACAAATCTGCCTATTGCCCACCCCTAGACATACCTGGCTCAAATAAAATTAAGCTATGCAAGGGCGTAAATATACATACTCATTGTAGTACCAGTCAGACGAGAGAGAGTCTGGTGCTACTCTTCATAGCACTGGTGTAAATATACCTACTCATTGTAGGACCAGACAGATGAAAGAGAGTCTGGCGTTACTCTGCATAGCACTGGTGTAAATATACCTATTCATTGTAGGACCAGACAGATGAGAGAGAGTCTGGCCTTACTCTGCATAGGACTGGTGTAAATATACCTATTTATTGTAGGACCAGACAGATGAGAGAGAGTCTGGCATTACTCTGCATAGCACTGGTGTAAATATACCTACTCATTGTAGGACCAGTCAGATGAGAGAAAATCTGGTGCTACTCTGCATAGCACTGGTGTAAATATACCTCCTCATTGTAGGACCAGTCAGATGAGAGAGAGTCTGGCGTTACTCTGCATAGCACTGGTGTAAATATACATACTCATTGTAGTACCAGTCAGATGAAAGAGAGTCAGGCGTTACTCTGCATAGCACTGGTGTGAATGCATATACACTCTCATCTGACTGGTGCTATGATGAGTAAGTAGAATTGAAGCAGGCTATTTCAAAATAAAAAATTTTAAATCTAGAGATGTTTTAAAAGATGAAATAAATATGAAATCTTTAATAGAGTAATGAAAAGATACTAACGAAAATGTAAGTGTTGTCAGGGTTGAATTAGTTAATGAAAAATAACTAAGTATAGGTGCAGAGCAGTAGACCAGTATCCCACATAGCAATGCAATTCTATATCCAAACCAGGGTATAATTACACTTCCTCCTTTACATAATTATATTTATCAGTTTTTATTTCTTGTTGAGAAAATTTGATTCATTTATTGCCCTTATATATTTCGATATAGAAGTTTTAAGACACTTTTAAAAGGACTGAGAAAATATTTCAAGTAACCCTCCAGTTTAATTTTTATTTATTTTATTTATTTTATTTTATCTCAGGAAGACAATGTAGGGATTATCATAATCAAACACTTTTTAAACAAAGAAAATCACACTAGTTTTCACATTGTACAGCTCATATTATGGTTTCAAGGGTATCAGTGTGAATCGTTATGCCCCTAATTGATGGAATTAAATGTCAAAATTAAATGACAAGATCCTTTTCTTTACTTACCCAACCCAAGTAACAAAAGTGAGGAAATTCCCCAGATTCTCCAACCGTGGTGACTTTTTAGAAGAATTTCCGAGGAATTTCTCGAGAATCCTTTCCAGTAACTGTTTCCTCGGATATTCTTGAGAAATTCCCCAGAATTGGTCCCCAAAGTGAGGGATTTTTTTGGGATCACAGTTTTGAGACTCAGTTACTTGGGTAGCTCAATAAACTATAGTTAAGATGTTACCTAAAAGAGCTCCAACTCCCTGGAAAATACCACCCACTGCCAGAACTACGCCAAGATCTTCATTAGTAATAGTTTCATCAAACTTAAACATTGAATAATTTGTATTTCCATTAGCAGTGTACAATTATAAATATAGTCTAACTGCATAAATCAAATATATTATTTAGTAGAAAGTAAATTTAAGTTATAGTTGTGTTTTTTTTAATTAAATCACCAAGACACACTTATTAGAAATAAAAAAAAACTGGGTGTCTGAAATTTATACCTAGAATTTTAACACCCAAGTGAATGGGTTAGATAAAAAAAAGTGTTCAGAAAAAAAAAAAAAAAACATTTGTATTTTTGTGTAATCCCAGTCTCTGATTTTCGGAATTTTAGATCATGTCCAGGAATTTCATTGTACTGAAAAGTTTCTGATAATTTGCATTACTAATTTTAGGAAGAGAATGAAATAGATTTCGTGTGAAATCACTATTTGAATAACTTTCACCTGTCTTATGTAGGAAGCAAAGTAAGGCGCCATGTTCCCAATAGTTCCATGAAAAGCTCCAGCAGTCAACATTATCAGAAACCCTTATTATTTCTAGAGTCAATGATTTCAAACAAAAATATTTGGAAGTCAAAGGAACTGAGTTCTTGAAACAAACTAAAATTTTCTAATCCCTATATCTTTACATTCTGATGGTGTGGTGTAGATGTTTCAAACTTGAGGTATTTGATGAAGGTTAAAAAGACCACAACATTGGGTTGCTGGGATATATCGGGATTTATAGCAATTAAACTCAGAAAAATTTAGTTAACAGATACTTGATAATTGGTAAAGATATAAAATTGTTATTTAAACTAAAAAAAAATGTTATTACAATTAATGAAACTCAAACAAACCTCCAATTACAGACATTACGCCTCGAATTCTATGATAATTGGACATTTTCTTGGATTCCTTCCCTTCTAAAAATAAAATTAAATATGTACTTTTTTCTATGTTCAATAAGAAATAAGGATTCTTTCATCTGAAAGAATTCTAATTTTTTAATAAAATACATTTTTAATCTATGTTTAATTTAACCCTATCCCTGCTGGGGTACTTGAAAACCAGGATATGCTGGGGAGGGGTCAATTTGACCCCCCCCCCTCTAAATCCCATGTTTTATGTCCAAATATGACAAATGATACATCATTAGAAAGCTCTTGTGCTCTACTTTTAGAATCTGCAAAAAAATTTGCAAATTTGCAAAAATTGAATTTTTTATCGCAAAATCCAGTTATATAGCAAAAATTTTTGCCAAAAACAATTTGTCCAAAAAATGAAAAATTATACATTTTTGAAAAGCCCTTGACTATGCCATTTCAAATATGCAAAAAATTTTGCAAAATTTTAAATAACCTGATTTTTAATCAAGAAAAACTAAAAATGTGCAAATTTCCTTTGACAGGTTGTTTGCAAAAAATTTGCATTTTTTTTCGCAAAACTTGTGCAATCCAAAAAGCTTAATTTTATCAAAATCTAACAAGTGAAAGTGGGTCAAAACAAAGATTTAGTTTGTTACAGGCAAAAGCAGTCATTCAGGCAGTGTGCCTGAGGACTCAGGCAGTTAGTATTAAAGCCCGGTTTTAGGCCTAAAGGGAGGGCTTTGGGTATGTAAGAAATTTCAACAGCCTGAGACCAATACTTTTTGAGTTATGTAAAAAAAAACTACAGGGGGGGGTCAATTTGCCCCCCCCCCCCACCAGCAGGAATAGGGCTAAAATAATTCATTATATTTATTTTAATTACTTTACTCCTAAAAACTGAATTAAAAAAAAAACTATTTTTGCTATGTTAAATTAAAAACGAGTATTCTTTCTTCTGAAAGAAATCTAATTGCTTTATTTTCAAAAAATACATTTTTATTCTATGTTCAATTTTTAAAATAATTCTCAATATTTCTTGTGATTAGTTTATTTCTATAATATTTAAACAGATACTTTATTGTTCTATGTTAAAAAAAGAATTAAATAGATACTTATTTTATTAAGCATATTCTTTGTTCTAAAAGAACTATTTAAGATAAATCAAATGTGAAAAGTACTAATTTCAATTCCCAAGGAAATTTTTGCCTTTAATTTATTCACTTTGTGCACTGTTCAGTATTGTCCAAACACGGATCTACTGACTTATAATAAGCAGAGTAATGCATGATATATAAATAAACATTCATACATAAACATATATATGTATATAAGCATGGTAATCTTGATGACATAACTGAGAATTTTGTTATTTAAGCATAAATACTTTTAATTTTTAAAAGTTATGAAAGTAACTGATTTTTCGCCACAATCTCAATTTTCTTATACCTTTAACTACATCAGGACAGGGTTGTTGTTGNCCCAACCATCAGTGTTTCCTCAATAACCATAGTTTTAAGATTATGTCTCACTGTGAATAGTTTCGTTCTTATTAAGCCCTTACCTAAATTAATGAAGAATGTACATACTAGCTTGGGAACCCAGCTATGCCTAGAAACTAAACTTTCTCGAAATATTCAATCAAATCATCTTAGACATTTTAAACCAAAAAAATGTAAACGACTCAATGAAGGGGTTCTTTTGTTATGATTGGACATACAAACAAACTTAGATTACTACTTTATATGTGTACATAATTGTGACTGTGAACAATTTATATTTCATAGTTTTTTTTGGTAATATCTTTTTTATAGTTTTAGGTAACCCCTACATGTATTTTTTTAATCATCTTATCTTTGGTGTTTGTGCATTACTTTGCACTTTAAAAAAAACTGACAGTTTTGAGTGAAAATAAATTTGACTCAACATGGCACAAAGTCAGACATTGCAATAATTCAGCTTGTCAGCTAATTATAATTCTGTATATGGTTACTAGTCTAGTTTTTTTTTGTCTATTTTGATTTGTATACAAACTCGTAATATTTCAATATACTTAATGCTTTTTGAAACATTTTTACAAAATAGTTGCGGTATTTATTTGAAATTGAACAATTAGTATTAACAATTTTAGCACAACTAAACTTAAATCTTTGAATCTACCTTTTCTCTTTCTGAAATAAAAAATACTTTCAACGTTTGAAAAACATAACAATTCAATTTGCGTTCCTTTATAGATGATAGTGTAATAATAAAAATCAAATAAGACCCTAAAGCGTGTTTTGGTGTAATTTCATATGTTTAAAGATTAAATAATTAATTAATTTAGACTAAGCCGAAAAATTTGATATTTAACACTTTCATGTCTCAGATTTGTTTACTTAGATATAAAAAAAGTTCTGAAAATTTAAATCCTAAATTTGAGGAGAGTGCATGGGGTGGTGGATTGAAAATAAAAACAATCAAATATCTCATATATTTAATTAAAAAGTTTAATAATGAGTAACAATAAATTATATCCATCAATCTATTTTATGACTGAAATAATTTTTCCAATTTACAGTTTTATAGAAATCATTATACGAGATAAAATAAAAGTTACCCTATTCCGACTGAAGGGGGTTCATATGACCCCCCCTTTTTGGTTTTTTTAGCGAGAACTCGAAAAATAATTTAGCTGGGAAGCTCAAATTATCTGGATTTTTTAACTGCCCATTACTTAAAGCTGGGCTTTATTCCTATTGCTTGAGTCCCCAGGCATACTGCTTGAATGCCTTATTTTAATCTTATACTAAATCTATATTTAGACCTACCTTTAAAATCTCTTTAGAAAGTCTATTAGAAAAAAAGTAGATTGTACAATTTCCGCAAAAAATATTTGCCAAGATTTTTGCACAGACGCCTTTACAGGGAATTTGCACAGTTTCATTTCAGTTTCAGTCAAGGGCTTTCAAAAATGCATATTATGTCGCATTTTGCGCAATCTTGGTTTTTGAAATATCTCAGATTTACGACTTAAAGAAGTTCGTAGTAAGATTTTGATTCTACTGGAGACCACTGGAGGGATTTTATTTTCACTGGGTCTGGAGGGGTTTGAGAATATGCTTTTTATAATTTAAAGCTTTACGCTCGGGGGTTTATAAATCCATTGGAGGGATTCATGTATCCTTCCTGGGGGTCTGTAATTCCACTGGAGGGATTCAGATATCTTTCCAGGGGGTATATAATTCCACTGGAGGGATTCATATATCCTTCCTGGAAAGATTTCTGAATCCCTCCAGTGGAACTTTAAACCCCTAGGAAGGATAACTGAATCCCTCCAATGGATTTATAAACCCCTGGGAAAAATATCTGAATCCCTCCATTGGAATTATAAACCCCCAGGAAAAATATCTGAATCCCTCCAATGGTTTTATAAACCCCTAGGAAGGAAATCTGAATCCCTCCAGTGGAATTACAAACCTCCTGAAAAGATATCTGAATCCCTCCAGTGGAATCATAAACCCCTAGGAAAGATATCTGAATCCCTTCAGTAGAATTATAAACCCCTAGAAAGAATCTAAATCCCTCCAGTGGAATTATAAACCACCTGGAAAAATTTCTGAATCCCTCCAGTGGAATTATAAACCCCTAGGAAGGATATCTGAATCCCTCCAGTAGAATTATAAACCAACTGCAAAGATTTCTAAATCCCTAAAGTGGAATTATAAACCCCCTGGAGAGATATCTGAATCCCTCCAGTGGAATGTAAATCACCTTGCGTAAAGTTTTATTTGTAAAAAGCATTTTTTCAAACCCCTCCAGTGAAAATGAATTCCCTACGGTGGTCTCCAGTGGAGTCAAAATCTTACTACGAACTTCCGTGACTCAAGATCTACGACATTGGATTGCAAAGTAATAGGGATTAGAATTTTAGAAAATTAGAGTTTGTGACAAAGGCTCGATTTCTTATATTTTTGATCGTTTGTCCACTTGGTCAATATTTCAAAAATGAAGCATTCACTTGGTCAATATTTCAAGAACGAAGCTTCCACTTGGCCAATATTTCTAGAAAGAAGCTTTCACTTGGCCGTTATTTCAAGAAGCGTCTTCTGGGACACTATTCAAAGAAGCGATCACTTGGCCAATATTTCAAGAAGCGACCACTTTGACACTATTTCAAGAAGCGACCACTTGGCTGACATTTCAAGAAGCGACCACTTACCCGATATTTCAAGAGGCCACAACTTGGCCAATTTTTCAAGAAGCAACCACTTGGCCTATATTTCAAGAAGCGACCACTTGGCAGATATTTTAAGAAGCGCCCCTTTGGCCGATATTTCAGGAAGCAAACACTTTGCCGATACTTCAAGAAGCGAACACTTGGCCAATATTTCAAGAAGCGACTACTTGGCAGATATTTTAAGAAGTGCCCCTTTGGCCGATATTTTAGGAAGCAAACACTTTGCCGATATTTCAAGAAGCGACAACTTGGCCGATATTTCAAGAAGCGACCACTTGGCCGATATTTCATGAAGCAAACACTTGGCCAATATTTCAAGGAGCGACCACTTGGCCAATATTTTAAGAAGCAAACACTTTGCCGATATTTCAAGAAGCGACAACTTGGCCTATATTTCAAGAAGCGACAACTTGGCCGATATTTCAAGAGGCGAACACTTGGCCGAGAAGTATCCGATTCCAGGCGTTTACTCACTATCCAATCAAAGTTTGTACATCCTCCCAGCTTCTACACACTCACACCCACACTCATGAGGATTAAAAACCAAAGTTACTATAGATAGGGAAGTGTAACATGTCAATAATCCAACTTTTCAAGGCCTACTCATTAGGGTCCAAGGAGGACTAGAAAAAGTTCAAAAAGTACGTCGGAAAATGTTTAAAATACATATGTTTACTTTTGACAAATATTTACATTTGACACATGTTATTAACTTATTATACATCCGTTTTCATGAGCTTTTCAAAACATAAATTTTAGCCCAGTAGCATAATTATCAAAAATTCCATATCTAATGTTTTTGAAACACCGACCCTTTAGATTGTCCTCCACCCTACCTTAAGTATAAAAAATAGCAAGATTTCTACACAACTATAGAATTGAAAAACTCGAGAAGTTAGAAACTCAGCCCCTTTAACTTATTAACAAAAATATGATCGTGATGGGGTTAAATAATACAGCATTTACAAGAAAGTTAATGAATTAATTTAGTCTCAAATTTAAAATTGCAAATTTGTTCAAAGAACGGTTGGAATAACGTAGGCTAAAACAAAAATACATCAATTTTTTGAATAGTTGATAGTTTAAAAATACTGTTTAAAACTCTTGGAAACAGGTGGAAATATGTGTAATGGACTCAGACGCTGATTGGTTTTAAAACAAAATCCTCAGATGATCACAATTGGTGAGCCATGATTTTTTTTATACTTGTTTCACGAAACTTTCAACAAATGCAAAAGTTTTCGTTTAGTTTATGAATTTTGGAAACAGTTTAACCCTATCCCTGCTGGGGTACTTGAAAACAAGGATACGCTGGGGGGGGGGGAATCAATTTGACCCCCCTTCTAAATCCCATGTTTTATGTCCAAATATGACAAATGATACATCATTAGAAAGCTCTTGTGCTCTACTTTTAGAATCTGCAAAAAAATTTGCAATTTGCGAAAATTGAATTTTTTATCGCAAAATCCAGTTTCATAGTAAAAATGTTTGCAAAATAAAATTTGTCCAAAAAATGACAAATTATACATTTTTGAAAAGCCCTTGACCATGCCATTTCAAATATGCAAAAAAATTTGCAAAATTTTAAATAACCTGATTTTTAATCAAGAAAAACTAAAAATGTGCAAATTTCCTTTGACAGGTTGTTTGCAAAAAATTTGCAATTTTTTTTTCGCAAAACTTGTGCAATCCGTTTCCTTATGTCATAGGCTTTCCAAAAAGCTAAATTTTATCAAAATCTGACAAGTGAAAGTGGGTCAAAACAAAGATTTAGTTTGTTACAGGCAAAAGCAGTCATTCAGGCAGTGTGCCTGAGGACTCAGGCAGTTAGTATTAAAACCCGGTTTTAGGCCTAAAGGGAGGGCTTTGGGTATTTAAGAAAAGTCAGAAAATTTCAACAGCCTCAGACCAATACTTTTTGAGTTATGTAAAAAAAACTACAGGGGGGGTCAAATTGACCCCCCCCCTAGCAGGAATAGGGTTAAGATCCATTCTGTATTTGACCCCCCCCCCCCCCCATTAAGATAATGCATGGATGTCCAAATATGACAAATGATACATCATTGGAAAGCAATTATGCTCTACTTGAATAATCTGCCAAAAAATTGAAAAAAATGATTTTTTTTTTGGCAAAATCCAGTTATATGTTTTAGAAAAAGGTTCCAAATTATAAATTATAAATTTTTGCAAATCCCTTACCAAGACCATTTCAAAAATCTTAAAAAAAGGGCTATGAGTATAAGAAAAGTACAAATATTTCAACAGCCTCGGACCAATCTTTTTGAGTTATGTTAAAAAACTACTATGGGGGGGGGGGTAAATTGCCCCCCTGCCGAATGAATAGGGTTAAACACTTTTATATAAATCGGATATTTTTCATGTTTATTTGGTAGACTTTTATAAAATCTATGGATTAAAGGAACTGTTCAATGGATTAAAGGGACTGTCCACTAAATTTCCAAATGTTTCCGCGGTATTCTATGAAACCTTGATTTTAGTAACAATTAGAAATATATAGTCGTCTTTTATTTTTTATGAAAGATACAGGATTACCGAAACTTTTACCATTTTTTTTTGTTAAATCATTTATCATTTAAACTCAAATTTAAAATACCAATATCTTTGCAACCCTATGGCGTAAACATGTGCTATTTCAAACTTAGAATTTTTTATCTAGTAATTCATAGTTTGAAGTATCTAAGGTCTACGATGTTAAGTTGCACAAATATAGGGATTAAAAAATCAGAGCTAGTTTTTAAGTAATTTAGAAAAAAGCACAAGGGACCCCCCCCCCCCTCGCCAGCCGTGATAGGGTTTAGAAAGTAACCCTCTATATTCTGTTAATATACAATTGTCTATCCTGTATATATAAATCCGCATGTATGCTGAGAAATTGCATTTAAAAATCTGCAACTTCTAATATGGATATCGCCATCATATAAATAAAATGGAGGTCGATTTTAAAAAAAAAATTTCGAAACCTCACTTTAACCGGATTTATAAAGAGCATAACAATCAAAACAACTTTAAGAACAAAAAATTTCAGTAAAATCCATTTTAAAAAGAGAAATTTGACTTTAAAGAAAATCAATTTTTAAAACCACAATTAGTTTTCTGTTTTTAGAGAGACCCCACCCTCACCCTTGAAACTAAATCTGAATGGCAACCACCCTTTAAGCTGAATCTGTATAGGAACTACTCTCACTACAATATGGGTATCGATTCTCATTAAATCACATGTTTTAAGCTTGTTTTTGGCATTTATAACACTCTCCGACCTTTACTAACCTCACCACCCACCTACTGAAGGGTGCACATTTCGTAGTCGAAGAAAAGGCATTTTATTCATACAACAGATGTTATGCCTCATATAGGTTGAATTTACTTTTACTAAAGGGGCAGAGGTGCGTGCGACATTTGACATAGTGTACGAATAGCACATGTTTTTAAATTTTGCTGTTTAATACAACAGAAGAGATATGCAAAAAACAATAGTTGGAATATAGATACGATCATACAGTTTTAAAATCCTGCAATGTTTAAAGTTCTCTGAACTTAATTGTGTAGATTGGTTTATTTAAACAGTAGATTGGTTTATTTAAACACCAGATTTAAACAATATTTACTTACTATTGTGCATGTCATGGTTTGTTAACGTACTTTCATATTTCTCTGAAGGAACTGAGGTTTTGAGACAAACTCAAATATCCTAATCCCCCTATCTTTGCAACCTGATAGAGTTAACCTTTGATATTTTAAACTTAAAATATTTAATCTAACAGAATTATAGTTTTGAATATATGAAAGCTTTACAACATAATCTTGCACTGAAACAAATTAGAGATTTGCCACAGGCAGCCAGTACAATTTAATTTCCGAGCCGGTCAACTTTTCGGTCACAGTTTGTACTGTACCTAGCTCTATGGACAGGACTAGCCAATGCAACAAGGTTGACGCGGTCACACTTTATGCTTCATTTAGATTGAATTTACTTTTACTAAAGGGGCAGAGGTGCTTGTTGGGCTAAAACTTATTTTCTTTCCATTTGATTATTAAAATTTTATATTATTTTCAAAAATTTAAAGTTAATTTTAGGTAGTATTTGTCATGTAATAATACATTTTAGTTTTCAATCACAATTGGTAAGGTAAGGGTATTTATCACAATTCTTACAATTTAAGTTTGTTTGACAGTTTATTATATTTCGACCAATTTACATATTAACAAAATCATTTCTAAATTGCTAACATTTTGCTCGAAATTATAAACAGAGCGTAAAGGTTAACTCACATGGTGATATATTTTAAATATTAAATTAGTTCTTTCAAACAAAATATTAGGATTTCTTTGAAAAATTCTGAACTGTTTAATGCGTTTGTAATATTGGGTGTGTCGAAAGCATTTAGAATTTGCTGGCTCTTTGTAAGTTAGGAACTGAATAATAGAAATATAAAATTTTGATAGAAATTCATAACATTTTCTTTATATATGTTTTTTTTTCAACTGCAGTACATGCAAATAGATTCAAGGACACTAGATGGCAAGGTAGAATTTGTACACTCTCAGTACAGCTGTATTCTGACATCACAAGTGTCAATTTAGCTTTTGTGTCCGACAAAATTATCAAAATAGTGATAGTTTTAGAATAAAGTGCTTATCTTCCGGAAAAATAAGTGTAATTAAATGTTTTCTTTATTTTCTGTTCTTACACTTTTTTATTTAATCTTAGGAAACATGTCAACTAATGTGAGAAAATATCGTTTTCCTTGTTATATTTGACACTTGTGACGTCGTGTATAATTGGTCCATTTCTCTGTTGTCACCTATTGTACTTAAAAACCTATTTGAGTACATGGATTCATCATTTCATAAATTTCTAATCATTTGAAAATGTTGCAACATGCAACACTTAGTGAACGTAGTTTTAAAAAAATGTGCACTGTTAACATGAACTTCATCATTGTTGTTCAGGTAAAATACAGTGAATCAGGTAATCTTAAAATCACAATCATCACTAAATTATCCGCAATTCCTTTAAATAATCAACAAATATATAACTAAAGTATTGATTAATCACAAAAAGTTTGCATTGATTGTTCAAATTTACAATCTGATAACAAAATAAAAGTTGCAGGTACAACGACAACATTTTAAAGACGATTTCTTTTTTATATAAAAATAAAATATTATTTCTAGATTTAAAATGTTTCATTTTCTCAAAAAATTATTTTCTGTTCTCCCCCCCCCCCTTGAAAATCTTTATTTTAAACAAGGAATATGTCCTTTGTTAGGGTTTTATTCGCCGAATTGGGGAAATTTCTAGATTTTGGGTGAAAAGTATACAAAAATGAATGGGTTTTAAAGTCCAATTTTTCAAATTTGCGACCCCCCTCAAAAAAAATCATCAATAACCTGCCGGAAGGGGGGGGGGTTATTAAAAAAATGTACACCCATTGGAAAAGTGATTTTATCAAATCAATACATACATGCTTTGTTTGTTAATTTAATCTTAATGTGCATATTCCATGTACTTCTGTGGCGAATAACCGTACAACTCAAAATCAAGACTGTACAGCTGATATAAACTGTACACCTAAACAATAATAATACAGTACAGTTGGTACACCTAAACAATAATACAGTACAGTTGATATAAGCTGCAGTAAAACTAAACAATGATACTTGTAGTTTTTTCGATTTTTGTCAAATTCTTTGCTTTGCTGAAATAGATTTTCGATGATGGATGTTTTTTTTAGTTAAATCAAGCAACATTCAGAGTTTGTAGGCCTTTACCCTATATCTCTGCTGGGGTACTTAAAAACCAAGATATGCTGGGGGGGGGTCAATTTGACCCCCCCTCCCCCTCTAAATCCCATGTTTGATTTCCAAATATGACAAATGATACATCATTGGAAAGCATCTGCAAAAAAATTTGCGAAATTGCAAAAATTGAATTTTTTATCGCAAAATCCCGTTATATAGTAAAAATATTTGCAAAAAAAATTTGTCCAAAAAATAAAAAATATACATTTTTGAAAAGCCCTTGATCATGCCATTTCAAATCTGCAAAAATTTCTCAAAATTTTAAATAACCTAATTTGTTATCAAGAAAAACTAAAAATGTGCAAATTTCCTTTGACAAATTGTTTGCAAAAAATTTACTATTTTTTTCGCAAAACTTGTGCAATTCGTTTCCTTATGTCAAAGGCTTTCCAAAAAGCTAAATTTTCTCAAAATCTGACAAGTGGAAGTGGGTCAAATCAAAGATTTAGTTTGTTACAGGAAAAAGCAGTCATTCAGGACTCAGGCATTTAGGCCTAAAAGGAGGACTTTGGGTATGTAGGAAAAGTCAGAAAATTTCAACAGCCTCAGACCAATACTTTTTGAGTTAGGTAAAAAAACTACAGGGGGGGGAGTCAAATTGACCCCCCCACCACAGAAATAGGGTTAACCACTTTTCTGTCCAACTAGGATAAAAAAAAATTGTCTAATTCCTTCACTTTTCTTTGTTGCAAAAATCCGAAAGTCACTTTTGTGGAGAACCAGAATTAAAAAGTATTGATTTTTACTTGAACTTCAACCCCATTTTGTGTCATTTGTAATTACTATTTCAGACTCTTTTAGAACAGCAAAAAAGACTTTACCTGATCTTTGCTTAGTTGTGAAAAATATGTTTTATAATCATCCTCCTTCGTGTCCCCAATGGGATTTGTTCTGCATGCAAATTTATGTTTTTCATATTAAAGGTAATGTAAAGGAAAAATGAAGGAAGGTATAGGCTGAAACCTCAGAATCTCAGGAGTTGATTGAGACATGTAAGAGATCTGATGTTCCTGTCTCCAGAAATTGATATAAAACTGTGTGAAACTTATATGTAAGATTGTGTATAAGATTCGTGGTATTAAACTAATCATATTCAACCAATACGGAACTAATCTGAAAACAACAATATCTCAGAGGAGCCTGAGAAACTCAGGTTTGCTCTTTTTATTATTGGAATTTATTAGTTTTTCATTTTTTATAGATATAATTGATAATAATATTTATGCGTCCGGAACTCCAACCAATGACAATGCAGTATTATTGTCACGTGTCTCCCTCAGTTTCACGTGACCAGTATACTACACTGCCATTGGAGGGAGGTATGGTCACGTGATACGGACTTGCATCTTACAAATATATGTTTTGGTATAATTTTGACACAGTTTTTGGTCAATTTCTAGAGACAGGAACATCAGATAGATGTCTGAAAGGTATCGTTCAGAACCTGAGATTCTCAGGTTTTATCCTATACCCCCTTTCATTTTTCATTTACAGTCCCCATAAAGAAGATGTAACTCTTCCGGCCATGGAGCAAGTTTAACCCTTAATCATTACAGAGTGGAGGCGTATAAGTTTAATATTTTTAACTCTTAACTTATTTTTTGTTGGTAGAACAGAACCACAATTTTGCGGATTATTTAAGCAAATTTTTTCCCCAATGCACATGAAAAGGATACCGTGTAAAGTTGAATAGTTTCAAAAAAATAACCCTGAAACACTGCAAGCAGACTTTCATTTAAAAACTAAAGCCAGCCTTGTTATCATATTTGAAAAACTATTATTACATTGTTTCTATTGTTTCAAGGGACTGTAAGCGTAATTTCAAGTGATCCTCCCTCCAAAGATGAGGACAATTAAAATGGTGACCTGCAGGCTTTTTCGGAAACCAATTATTTTTCAATTATATCAGAGTTATATAATTATTCAATTATATAAGAACAATATCTTTCACATTATTGATCAGATAAAGTTATCAAGGGTACCGTTGTGAATAGGACTATGCCAGCTTTGCATGGAGGGTCACTTAAAATCATGTTTACAGTCCTTTTTTAATTAACAGACCGGCTATGTAAGGTTGTTGACTTTAAAAGTCACTATAATAAAATAAAAGAGATCTAAATGGATATTTCTAACATTTATTTAACAAAAAAACGAAAGTTTTGAAATATTTGCATTTAATGCGGAGTTAAACTTGGTTGATTTAGAAATTAACAAAGGAATTAATGATGGATATTAGATGGCGCTTCATGGGAGTTTTGTAGAGCTTCATGTTGGTGGAGCAGATCTGGGGGAACTGGGACAACAGGGCTTATCAATGGAACTAAGGCAATGCAACTTGAGATATCGGAAACTTTGGTCGGAGCCGTGCACAAGTTTCCTAACTAAGCTTCTCAAGAAGTTAATAAGGAGATCAGAGATATAAGCACGCCTGCTGTTAGCTCAGTATCTGCATCATCAGCATGAAGGAGTCAAGAGGCTCCCTGTGTCGGAGCTGTTACCAGCCCAACTCTCCTATTCTGACTGACTCAGACTACTGGGGTGTGTAGAGGGGTGAGGAGCGAGGGTTACATGTGTGTGCTTCATGGCGGAAATGAATCGGGTGTGTACACACATCTTGATAATAGTTGACGGCAATTGAGTCGGTAAAATCGTCTTCCTTATATTTCGAATCTGTGTTAACAAAGGTAGTTAAACTAAGTATGCAGTGTTGTGGACAAATTCATTTGAGACATATGAAAGTCAACTTTCAAAATCGTACTTTTGGGTGTATACGTTTTCAGATTTTTAAAAAAATTTTTTAATGAGGATTCAAAAGGATTTTCTGCAGATATTCTGGAATTATTATTAAAAAGACGACATTTGAAGAATTCGTGGAAATCTGCGAATAAATGCATAGAAAAAAAGAAATTCAATTAAATAATGAAAACGAAATAATTGATTCTAGAATAGATTTATTGGCAAATTTAATTAGTTTACTGTATAATTTTCACTTTATTTTTCGTCGTCTTTATTTGATAAATTAAAACTGATTCTGAAAACGTACCCACCCAACTTCATGATTTTGAATGTTAATTATGCACTCAAACTCAGTAATTATACATCGTGCAAAACTTTTATATGTCTCAAATGAATCCTAAATAATTTGTCCACAACACTGCATACTCAGTTTAACTACCTTACATAGCCAGTCTGTCCCTTTAATGGCCAGCTAGAATTATACTCACCCTCTTATAATAATTAGGGGCAGTCTATACTCTGAGGACTGGAGACCAAGCTTGCCAAGTAATGATTTAAACTCTGATTCTAAACAACGAATATTACGGGACTGAGTTTTTGCCATGAACTAAAATTTTCTTTTCCTTATATCTTTGCAACCTGATGGTTAAACCTTTGATATTTCAAACGTCAGACAATGTGATCCATCCGAATTTTTAGTTTAAAATATCAAAGGTCTACGAATTTGGGTTGCAAAGATTGAAAAGTTCAAGTTTTTTGACAAAAAAAAAACACATTTCCTTATATAAAAAATCAACTTTTTTTACTTTTAAGGCAAAATTATTCTCATTATGAAAAATCAAGCATGAGAGGAGGACGTTAGAAGTGTAAAGGATAAAATTGAATTAATCTCTTCTGTTTATTAACAGAAATTAAACAAAAAGATATAAGACTACACAAAATGTGTATATTAACGCATTAAAAATAGTTTCCGTTGTTCTTAACGCTATTACGATTGGATTAATAATTAGACTACAGGGCTAACATTTACATATTTGAAAAGCACTTCAAAAATGGATGTAATAACACTAGCTTCCAATTGATATGACCCCTCAAATGCGGGAAAATTATAAACCGTTTTTTACAGTTAAAGAGCGCATCTCTCATCTCTAGAAGTTAATCTAAAGACTTCAGATTAACAAAAAAGAGGATCAATCATCAATCTCGATATCCACCATTATAAAGTTACCAGCTCAGGTTACAAAGATGAAAGAGAATTAGTAATATTTAGTTCCGTTGTCCAAAGAACCTCTCAGGGATGTAGGTCATGGTTCCTATAGCTCTAGGAGTTCTATGTATATATCAGGTAGGTAGGATGGAGGTTGTGTTCCAAGTGTATAATTATATCAGGTAGGTAGGATTGAGGTTACCTATGTGTTCTAAGTGTATAATTATATCAGGTAGGTAGGATGGAGGTTACCTATGTGTTCCAAGTGTATAATTATATTCGGTAGGTAGGATGGAGGTTACCTATGTGTTCCAAGTGTATAATTATATCAGGTAGGTAGGATGGAGGTTACCTATGTGTTCCAAGTGTATAATTATATCCGCGGTAGGTAGGATGGAGGTTACCTATGTGTTCCAAGTGTATAATTATATCAGGTAGGTAGGATGGAGGTTACCTATGATTTCCAAGTGTATAATTATATCAGGTAGGTAGGATGGAGGTTACCTATGTGTTCCAAGTGTATAATAATATCCGGTAGGTAGGATGGAGGTTACCTATGTTTTCCAAGTGCATAATTATATCCGGTAGGTAGGATGGTTTGCAGACTCCAGCAGTGACCCAGGTTGGCGCCCAGTGCATTAGCATTATTGCCTAAAATAAAAAATATGATTGTTAAAAAACTGGTTTCTATTGACTTTGCTTCTTGAAGGAATGGAGTTTTTGTCACTCACTTACACTTTCTAATCCCGTTATCTTTTCTACCTGTAAACCATTCATATTTCAAACAAAGATTATTTGATTCAACAAAGTTCATTATTTGAATTATCTAAGATTTGTGATATTGCAAAGATATACGAATTAGAAAATCAAATTTTGTGGCAAAGCCTCAATTTCTGTAGTTTTTTTTTTGTAATCTTTAAATGTTAACTTTTAGATTTTTTTTTTAAATTGGGAAAACTGCAGCTGAAACATACCATGGAGTATATTCTAAAATGTTGTTGATTGAGTCTTATATTTTAATTAATTCATTATCTTTTTTCATGGGACATTTTTATTTTTTTTTAAGCCGTTCAGTAAATATTTGGATTCGTTCGTTTTCAGAATTATCGTTCATTTTACATCTTATTTGTTCGTTTTCTAACTAAACGATCGTTTTATAAAATCTTTCATTCATTAAAATCGTTCGTTCATTAAATAAACGAAAATTGTTTTCTGAGTTTTTTGAAAAAATTATTCCTTCAGTAAAAATACGATTGTCTTAAAAAAACTTCGTTCGAACAAAATCTGTATTTTTTACGTTCGTTTGACCACATTACCAAATCTTTAACGAACCATTTCTAAATTGTGCACAATTTAAAAATGGTTCCTTAAAGATCTAACTAATCAAGAAAATTGGAACAATCATTTTTTTATTTCGTTTGTTAACAAAAAAGATGCCTATTAATATGAAATTTGGAGAGTAGTAACTAGATGGTAAATTACCTCAAATACTAAGTCATCTTGACCAGAATATATTTCACTCAAAGTTAACTTCCTAAATAAACAAAAAATATTGCACAAAAAAAAACAGTTTAAAAAAATATATATTTACTTGAAAAATCCACGATTCAAGACAATGCTGATAAAATGCTGCCAGGTCAGGTTGGACAAAATTCTTTTCGTCTCTGCACTTTTAACAAAAATTGATGTTTTAAAAAATGGCTGCCCTCGTAAAATTTTTGTTCAATTTTAAATCACACCAATGGTAAAGTTTTACTGAAAAACATCTGCTTTTTGTTTTAACAGGGTTACCCTTCAAGATCCTAAAAACCCCTCAAAGATCCTTAAAGACCGTCAAAGACCCTCAAAGACCTTCAAAGACCCATCAAGATCCTTAAAGACCCTCAAAGACCCTACAAAACCCTACAAGACCCTCAAAGACTCTCAAAGACCCTACAAGACCCTCAAAGACTCTCAAAGACCCTACAAGACCCTCAAAGACCCTACAAGACCCTCAAAGACTCTCAAAGACCCTACAAGACCCTCAAAGACTCTCAAAGACTTTGCACAGTCTTTATTCTGTAACCGTTAAAAGGAACTAGCTGCAGTAATCGTAATTTGAATTGACTCTTTATGAAATGATGGTACTGTTGGATTCTCAACGGTAACCATAAACGCGATGTCTGACCAAGTGTGAATTATTTATATAAATGTATACAATATATATATATATATCAATGTATACAATTATATATATCAATTATATATACCAATCAATGTATACAATTATATATATCAATTATATATACCAATCAATGTATACAATTATAAATATCAATCAATATATGCAATAATTGAAAAATGATACTTTTCAATTATTGGTCAAAAAAATGTTTCAAGGGTATCGTTGTCAATCGGGGGTGACAATGGCAGGCTATACAAATTCGACATTTTTAAAATTCCCGGGGCAATGCTGAGCACTTCAGCTAGAAGTTTGTTAAAAGTTGAACCTAATGTAGTCTTGTTCAAGTGTAAATCCAGTCCAACCTTCAGTTAGAAATAAGTGTCTAAATAGATAATCTATATATAAATTTGGCTTGTCTGTTTGGGCGTCTGTTTGTTTGTATCCAATAAACGTCAAAATGGCTGAACCGATCGAGCCCAAATTTTTTGTGGGACCTCAAAGGTTTATGAATGATAAAAAATGTGTTTTAAAGATTTTTAATTTTGTAAAAAAAAAAGTTTTTTTAAAAATCCGCAAATTTTTTTTTCTTCTTCGTTTTAAAATGTAAACAAAAAGAACATGTTCACAATTCAAATAGAAGATGGGCGCGAAGCGCCCTAAAAGCCTAGTTTATTAAAATTGGTTAAACCATGCATATCTGGTCACAGTTATAAGTCTCAAAAACAAAGGAATTGAGTCTTTGCCACAAATCCTAGTTTTCTAATACCTATTTCTTTGCAACCGGAGATCCTAGACCTTCAGTATTTCTAATATCGAACTCTGCTAGATCAAAACTTTGACCATCAGGCTGTAAAGATATAGGGATTAGATATTTGAGTTCGTGGCAAGAACGTAGGTCCTTTAAATTCACATCCAACACAATTCCTTAGTTTTCTAGCAAAAAAATAATTTAAGAATTATGTTAAAATTAATAAAAAAATGTAAAAAAATTGAACAAATATTTGTTATTGATGTTTTTTAATACCTGTAGGCAGAAACTAGCCGTTCTGATAAAAAACATAAAATGTTTTGAAAATAAAATTTATTTTTTTAATCTCAATCAACGATTCTATGAACTCCGGTAAAGTTTTTTTGCTTAAAAAGTCATAAAAGTTCAATTCTTTTATTATTTCTTAATTTTAATCTTAAAATTCGTCTGAAGAGTGTTCTTTGAACGCCATTTCAGGAAGTGTACAAAAAAGGGTTAAAAATTAAAATCAATCATAATAAATAAAAAGAATAAAATTTCATTATTTCCCGAATGGATGTCTAACTTGTAGGATCACAAGCTCTGTCTCTCTGTACATAATATCGATTAATTAAAAAAACGGTTGGTATCAGTCTTTAAAAAAACGGTTGGTATCAGTCTTTCCCCCTCTCCAAAACAACATCAAACATCAAACAATGTTTTTTATTTAGTTTTTTATCGCTGATTGACACACAGGTGTTTTAAAGTATATTATTATATTTTTTTGCAAACATGAAAATATGTCTGCAGGCTTTTATTTTTAAAGAAATTTATTGCTTTTTTTATAAAGTCCCAATTATATAATATTATATATTTTCATCGATATTCCTTTCTGTACATTCATGTCCACAACCACCTGCAGTACAGTACATTAGAATTAGAACAGACTAGAAATTAGATTACTCGATTCACAACAGTACCCTATAGAGTATAAACTTTTGACTGATTCAAGGGTGACGGACCTATTTACAGAAAATCTTGAATTTGTTAAACAATTCATTTGCAAGTTGTTTTATTTTTATATTTAACCATAAACAGATCTAAGAAATACATGTTTAAAAAGCCCATGAAAGATTAATCTGGTCTTAGATAGATTAATCGTGTCTCAGATAGAATAATCTGGTCTCAGATAAATTAATCTGGTCTCAGATAGAATAATCTGGTCTCAGATAGATTAATCTGGTCTCAGATATAATAATTTGGTCTCAAATAGATTAAATTGGCCTCTGATAGATCAATTTAGTCTAAAATAGATTACTAAAGTCTCAGATGGATTACACAGGTCTCAGATAGATTAATTTGGTCTTCAATAGAATAATTTAGTCTCCAAAAGATTAAATTTTCCTCTGATAGATTAATTTGGTCTCCGAAAGATTAGTTTGGTCTCCAATAGACTAAATTGGTCTCAGATAGATTAATTTGGTCTCAGAAAGATAAATCTGGTCTCAGAAAAAATGATCTGGTCTCTGATATATTAATTTGATCTCTGATAAATTTATTTGGTCTCCGATGATTTTTTCTTGTCTAAGACTAATTTGACCTCCGATAGAATAATTAGGTCTCTAATTATATTAAATATGCAGCCTGCAGGGTGTCAGATAAAAATGGTCTTCGTTTTTTTGTCATTTTCAAAAATTATTGGTTTCAAAGGAACGCCGCGTAATTTTAAGTGACCTTAATTAACTGGACAGAGGGTTGTCTGATTCACAACTTTATCTTTGAAATCTTAGTGTGGTCTCAATAATAATTAATTTTAAATTTTAGTTTCTCTGTTAAAGTGATAATGAAGATATTGATAAAGGAATTGAGTCTTTGTCACAAACTATGATTTCCTAATCTCTATATCTTTGTAATCCAATGCCGTAGACCTTAGATATTTCAAACTATGAATTCTATTAGATGAAAAATCTAAGTTTGAAATATCAAAGGTTTACAGGTGGAGTTTGTTACAATTAGACTCAATTCCTTTAGATTAATACAATAATAACAATGCCATCCTTATTTTTACTTGGATAGAGTTAATAAAGAATACTGTTGTGAATCGGACATGCCACTCTGTGTTTTTTAATTCAAGGGCTAAACCACACTCACCTACTGTTGCATTAAATTGTTTATTATCTACAAAGAATGCTCTAACACTTGTTGAACCAGCTTTATACGGTACATTCATTAAATATTGTTTATCCTAAAGAAGAAGAAAAATGAAACAAATTATCTTAAAAATTTGTATTAAAGGGACTGTAAGCGTAGTTTTAACTGAACCTTCATGCAAAGATGACAATAAACGATTTACATCACGCGGTTCCCTTAATAGCTTTGTCTGATCAAATAATAATTAAATATAAACATCCGTGTGTTTATAATAACTGTTTATTTGCGGGTTCCCTGTAAAATTGACTTTCGCATTTTGTTGAAAGATCCTAGAAGCAAACGAGAAATTATCTTAATTTAACACTTTTTGAGTCAGGAACACACAGGTATCTTTCTCATTTAAAAAAAATTAATGTACTTAGGGGACTTAGGGTACCGTTGTGAATCGGACATCGCCATCTTTAGATCTAGGGTAGCTTGAAATTTCTCGTACAGTCTCTTTAAAGGTTTAAAGAGGAAATCAAAGGGTAACCGCGGCAAGTGCCGGACTTGGATCATTAACCCTATGAAGGCTGGGGGGGGTCTGAATCTATGTATAGCCTGGGGGGCCCCCTAGAAAAAGGCCTAAGAGAATAGGTACAGGGTTGCAATGCATGTGCGTAGCCCAATTTTTCATGGCCAGCTCAAAGAAAAATAATTAGACCGATAACTTTAATAGATTGGGTGCTAGGGAGGGTGGAAAAAAATGCCTAAAAAAGGGTAAAAAAGTGACACATTTTTTTGTATTGAACAAATATAAAACTGTGACATGTTTCTACACGCATTTTTCAATAATAAAAAAATATAGTTTTTAGATCTGCAGTAGTCACAAAAAAGTTTTTTTTTCTTTTTTTAAACAAATATAATAGTGTGACACATGTTCCACGTGCATTTTTCAAGGGCTTTTGAAAAATATAGTTTTTATTTCTGTAGTTTCAGTCACAAAAAATTTATGGGCTATTTTAAATTTTTTTCACTGACCGGACTTCTTTTTCGCCCTGTACCAACCCTAGGAATTAAAAAAAAAAGTTTAACAAAAAAAATAACAAAGGCCCCCCCAGCCTGTTTAGGGTTAAGGTTAAATAAAACCAAAAATTGTGTTTATATATATATATATATATATTTAACATTTTTAATTTAATGTAGTTTATTACCTTTATATTGAAGAAAATTGATTGATGATGATTGAATTGGGTTTCACTGTACAGGCAAAGTTTTGCTTCATTTTATCATGAAGTTGGCATTGCCTGTGTAAGACAATACTTTTTACCCGCGTCAGGTTATTTTGAACCACAAAAAGGTATTTAAAAAGACAAAGGAATAGAGTCTCTGCAGCAGTCTCAACTTTTCTAAGACCTTTATCTTTTCAAACTTAGATTATTTGCTTTAACAGAATTCATATTTTGAAATATCTTTAGTCCATTGTGTTGTGTTGTCAAGAAATGGGGATAAGAAAATCAGAGTTTGTGGCAAAGACTAAAACGAAAGTCAAATAATGCTGATTGAATTTGGTCCGAAAGTGCAGTAGAGAGTAGAAAAGGTCTTCTTACGATTTTAAAAATTAAGGATGAAAAGATGAAGGCATGAAATGATGAAAGGATAAAAGGATAAAAGAATAGATGAAAATTTTAAAAAAGAATGAAAGAATGAAAGTATAATAAAAGTATAAAAGAATGAAAGGATGAAAGGATTAAGGGAAGAAAGGAAATATATATGCGTAACTTTCCTTCCATAAAGACTGTAGTGTTCAGGTCTGAAAGGATTGGTGTACTTCTCACAAACAGACTAGAAATAGAACAAAATAAATAAGGAAGTGAAACCCCTTAATTTATAAATGAAATGGCATGCCATTTCCCAGTCCATATTAGGGTTTCCTGCGTTAACGATGCGGAATTTCGAAAAAAAATATGCGACAAATTTTCATAAAATAGATTTGGGAAAAAATGCGAAAATTTTGCGAAGCCAAAAATGCGAAATTTACCGGAATGCTTCCGAAATTTTTCGCATTTTTAGTTTTTTCTTCGTGAAACGATTTCCCCATTTGGCTGGTAACCCTAGTCCATTTCAAAAGCCTCTAAGACTGTGTCTGATCCAGAAATGGAATTGCTTTAATCAATTTCTTCAGATTTTAATCTGTGATTCTGTAATTGTTAATCTTAACAATGTTCAAAAAGCTGAATTAGCTTATTACCTGTATTAACTGTTTTCTTTGAGAAAATAATTTAAAATTTTCTTCATCTTGATCTAAATAAGAGATTTATTAGGCACATTATTCTTTCAATGGATACATTCGAAGTAAAAAGAAATTATGTGCAGGGTAAACCACAAAATAAAGACTTCTGCAGAGACTTCTGTTCGAAACTTGTCTAATGCAAGACAGACTTAAAAGTACTTAGAACATATAGTTGTTTTTCTCTCATTTCTAATAGTGTGTAATTCTGACAATTTCTGCCTTGTTTCTGCGAAATAACATACAAAATTCATTTTCAAAAGAAAAAATGAATATAATCAATGTTAAACTAGATTACACTAGATTAAACTAGATTAAACTAGATTAAAAAGTACTATGGTATATTTAAAAATGGCAATCACGTTTACAGTCCCTTTAAAGATTCCTGACAAAAGTCAAAAGTAATTCGATTTTCTAGAGATGTTTAATTCTTAAGTCTCATCTTTTTTTTCGGGTTACCCTGTATCTGAATTGTTACGGAAAAAAAGATTTTATATTGTACGTTAAAACTTACTTGAATTAGATGAAGATGAAGATATCACTGGTACTGTAAATTTACTTGATCTTGTGACAACAACAAGGGTAACTGGTCAGAGGTAGAAACACTTTCAGATGTTTATTATTTAAAGGTAATTATGCAATTTTAAAAGGACCTCTCTGATTCTCTACACTACCCTTACAACCACTATCATTTCAATAATTTAGTCGATTATCGTGGTTGAAAACAGGATCTTAAAATCTTATTAAAATGAAAATAATTTAATTCTTTAAATATAATCTCAAAACTTTGAAGCATAAAACCTTATTTAATTTTTTAATTCTAAAACTGTGGCTCTTGATTTCAACAGTTAGAGCCGCAACCTAAATTGACTCGTAAGCACAAAGGACTAGGGTTGAATCAAATTGTTAAGTCCTGAATATCGAATATCGAATGCAATTTTCACTGCACTGCATAGTATTAGAGATCCGATTAGACGAGATTATACTCTATCTTTGAATGATATAATTGTATGATAGAAATGTTGACTAAATTTGCAATCTGATCAATTTTTTTGCTTTATAACTGGTGTTTGCTTTAGCATAACCATGAATTTTACTAAGGAATTGAGTCTTTGCTAAAATTTCTGATTATCAAATCCCTATTTTTAAGGCACACAATAGTGTGGACCTCATATATGAATTCTATATTATCAAATAATTTAAGTTTTAAATGTCAAAATTTTACACCATCAGGTTCAACATTGTGGCAAAATTTTACACCATCAGGTTCAACATTGTGGCAAAATTTTACACCATCAGGTTCAACATTGTGGCAAAATTTTACAGCATCAGGTTCAACATTGTGGCAAAATTTTACAGCATCAGGTTCAACATTGTGGCAAAGAATCAGTTCTTTTGTAATTTTCCGAAGATTGTTGATGTAGAGCCTGAACACTTTCACGGAGTTATGGAATTTTGAACATAGTATTAACTAAAGAAAAAATCTGGAAGGGAACTGCAGTCCCCTTCTCTATGCAGGTCATTAGGAATAGGGTTAAAAACATAGAGAATAGAATATATATTAGAGAGGAATTAAAAGAATCTCTCGGTATGAATTTTTTCAGTCCCTTTCAGCCTTACAACAAAATGGCCGTTTTACACTTTTTTCTAGTAAATTCCACTCTAATATATATTCTATTCTCTATGGTTAAAAATACCTTAGTTTTTTAAAGAAATTAATGTGTTTAACTATTCCTAAAAAAGTAAAGAAGAGACTCACTAAAATTCTTAAACGAGTAGTAGACATATTTATACACCTGAAATTTGTGAAATCAAAGTTTCTATAATTCATGGTATGCATAGAGATGATGGCTTGTTTCTTTTCGTTCGTTCATCTTTTTTTCTTTTTCAATCGTAAAAAAATTTATTTCGTTCATTCCAAAAATCATTATTCACTTTCCAACTTTTTCGTTTGTTTTCAGTAAAATTCATAAAAATTGTTCGTAAAATTATTCTTTTTTTAAATGTTTGTTCGATTTTTTTTCAAAATCTTCAGGAAAATTTGTTCGTTTAGTGAAAAAAAAAACTATTTCATTAGAAATCGTTTATGAATGATCGAGATGGTTCAAACGATTTTAAATATTTCCTTTTTTCGTTCGTTTTATATTTCATATTTTATAACACAATTGTTTTTTTAATTCTCTGAACGATCCAAGTCGTAATTGTACAGCAGTCGTTTTTATTTTTTTGTTCACAAAAATGATGCCTATCTCTGGGTAGAAATTAAATTTTCCAAACAAAAATGTTTTAAAAAAAGATGTTCTTAGTTTTTTTTCTATCAAATTGAATTTTGGACAATGCAATCATGAAAAAAAATCATAATTGAAATTTTTGAACTTTTAATTTTTAAGTCTATGGTAGTGTGTTCAGACTTGAACTGAAGATGTTTAGTTAGCTAGACCATGATTAATCAGGAGAGAGGGAGGGAGGGGGCACGCCAGGGGATCTAGCTAGGGGGGCACAACGTTGAGATGTTTTGGGGGGAGGGGGCATGCTGTGGGAGGGGGACTGAAAGAAAGTTAAAGTGGAGGGGTGGGGGGGGGATGACAATGCCAGTTCATTATGACTCGGCAGTTTTGCGGCTAAATAAATTGGAAAATTATATGTGCATTTTGTGGTTTGCATTGAAACTGAACATTTGCAACTAGCTTTGATTTGATTAATTCATATATTTTCGCAACCTGATGGTGTAACTTCAAGTTTGATTTGACAAAATACATATTTTACTAGTGTTTACTAGTGTTTACTAGTGTTTACTAGTGTTTACTAGAGTTTACTAGTGTTTACTAGTGTTTACTAGAGTTTACTAGTGTTTACTAGTGTTTACTAGTGTTTACTAGTGTTTACTAGTGTTTACTAGTGTTTACTAGTGTTTACTAGTGTTTACTAGTGCTTACTAGTGTTTACTAGTGTTTACTAGTGTTTACTAGTGTTTACTAGTGTTTACTAGTGTTTACTGGTGTTTACTAGTGTTTACTAGTGTTTACTAGTGTTTACTGGTGTTTACTAGTGTTTACTAGTGTTTACTTCACTCATCTGCGAAAAGTTTGAAATTATCATAAGCGTGACATTTATACAAAGATAGCAATGTCAGATTCTTAAGGTTACCCTTTAAAGCTTTACGTGAAATATATTTTCATTTTTCTAGGGTTAATGGGTTTCATTCTGATAATTCTTATATGTTTTCCTGCAGTAGAAGTGCGCAAGTCACTTTGTAAAGTGAACTACTTATTAGAATTAATCAGGTTTCCAAATTATACAGATTAATATCTAATTCATATTGATCAGACAAAACTTTCAATGGTTGTATTGCGTCGTAAACCGGGCATTGCCATCTTCCATTGAGGGTCACTTGAAATTATGCTGACCCCTGTAAACTGTAGAGGGTCAAATTTGTGCGACATTACTGACATGACCTCACTCATGAATGCCGAGTCCATTAGCGCCTGAAACAATCAGGGTTCAGTCATGTATTTAATGTCAATAGAAATAGTGGCGGTAACATCTTTCTATTTATCTCATTATCCAATTAATTAGAGTTAAGAATCCTTTAATTGGCGCTTTTAGAAAATAGAAATATTTACTTCTACTGAAACTATAGTGACCTTGATACCTCGTATTAGAAGAGTAAACATATTCAGTCACAAATTAGAAATTCGATACTTTCTATTCTTCTGAATAGCTCTTAAAGAAATTTCAATCTTTTGTAATGTATTTTAATTTGACAGTCCCTTTAAGCGTAACTAAAGTTAAATAATAACCCTCTAGGTCAATTATTTATGAATAAACTCGCTTTTTCCTAATGTTTCATAAAGATACCAAGCAAACAGTGATTATTCTTTGGTTTTGGCATTTTATATCAATTATAATGATTATATAGCAATAAAGCAAAATTCAGATTTTCATTATATTTGAGAACAAATGATAGACAAAAGTTTTTAAATCCCATTCGTGTTAAAATCTATTGAAAAATGTGGTTGTTTGATTGATAGAGAATAACACAATTGTTTTGTTTTTGCAATCCGAGACAAATAAGGGTTTTCATAAATCAATCAGGGGTCAATATAATTCCCAAAAAAGCTGATTTTCTCGATCCCAAAATAATTTTTTGCCCCCAATTTTGAAAAAAAATGCCCCCAATTTTTAAAAAAATTTGCCCCCAATTAAATAATTTGCCCCCATTTCTTTCAAATTTGTCAATCCCAAATGGGATTGAAAAGGGAATTATATTGACCCCTGAAATCAATATGAAATATTTCAAAAATTCTATTTTTGAAATTAATTTTAAAAATAGCTTAATACTAGTAGGTCCCTCAAACTCGGTTACTTCATGCAATAAAAAGCCTCAAGCTTTTGAATTAAATTTTTCTACATTTTTAAAAAAGAATCACAATTTCTAATCTAAAAATGTAAACTAAAGCGAATCTTTGTTTTATCCGGAAATACTGGAAAGTGTTGTTTATCAGCTTATTTTCTTTTATACTATAAAAATATTTCATTGTGAATTTGAAAAAAATATGAAATTAGGAGATTAACTGATTTCTAGTGCACACATTCTGATTTTCTAACGCCTAAATGTTTGCAACTTAATTTAAAATTTTAATATTTCAAACCATGAAATCGAGTTGATCCAATAGTCCACGTTTAAAATGTCAAAAGTTTACACCATCTGGTTGCAAAGATATATGTAATAATGCTTTTGAATTTAACACTGTGATTAGAACTATTCCTTTTAGGGAAATAAGGGAACCAAAGTGTCTGTGTCTGTTGTTGTCATAAAGTGTCTGATGTAGTCATAAAGTGTCTGATGTTGGTATAAAGTGTCTGATGTTGTAATAAAGTGACTGATATTGTCTTAAAGTGTCTTATGATGTCATAAAAAGTCTGATGAAAACATAAAGTGTCTGATGAAAACATAAAGTGTCTGATGAAAATATGAAGTGTCTGATGAAAACATAAAGTGTCTGATGAAAACAGAAAGTTTCTGGTGTTATAATAAAGTGTCTGATATTGTCTTAAAGTGTCTAAAGATGTCATAAAGTGTCTGATGTTGTCATAAAGTGTCTGAAGTTGTCATAAAGTGTCTGATGTTGTCATAAAGTGTCTGATGTTGGTTGGTATAAAGTGTCTGATGTTGTCATAAAGTGTCTGAAGTTGTTATAAAGTGTCTGAAGTTGTCATAAAGTGTCTGATGTTGTCATAAAGTGTCTGATGTTGGTATAAAGTGTCTGATGTTGTCATAAAGTGTCTGAAGTTGTTATAAAGTGTCGGATGTTGTAATAAAGTGTCTGATATTGTCTTAAAGTGTCTAAAGATGTCATAAAGTGTCTCATGTTGGCATGAAGTGTCTGATGAAAACATAAAGTGTCTGATCTTGTCATAAATTGTTTGCTGTTGTCGTACACTGTCTGCTGTTATCATAAAGTGTTTGATGTTGTCATAAAGTGTCTGATGATTTTATTAAGTGTCTGATGTTGTCATAAAGTGTCTGATGTTGTCATAAAGTGTCTGATGTTTTTGTTAAGTGTCTGATGTTTTTGTTAATTGTCTGATGTTGTCATAAAGTGTCTGATGTTGTCATAAAGTGTCTGATGTTGTCATAAAGTGTCTGATGTTGTAATAAAGTGTCTGATGTTGTCATAAAGTGTCTGATGTTGTCATAAAGTGACTGATGTTGTCATAAAGTGTCTGATGTTTTTGTTAAGTGTCTGATAACTTCGAAACACATTTGGAATATTTTATTTATTTCTCTTTAACAACGATGTAAATAACAAAAATCACATATTGGCAATAATGTAACATAGTCAAGAGATCACAGATTGGACATACTTTGCATTGTATATATTTAATTAAATCTAAATAGCAATGAACATATGTATTCACTGAACAATAATAAAACTATTGTTTATGTATAACGCTAAGTGAGGTATCAATTTGAATGTGTTTAAAAAGAAAATAATAGAAAAAAGCCAAGAAAGACTGTTTACATTGATGATCTATAGACTTGTCAAATTTGTGGGTATTATTGCTGACTTTAAGCCGTGAAGGCGTACACAGAAATAAATCTGGGGGGTGGGCAAATATTCGCGAAGCACAATTTTTGAACTTTAAATTGAAAGCATTTAAAAAAAGTATTACTTTATCTCCCTTTCACACAAAACAAAACAAAACACTATTTTTTTAGGCTCTGATCGCTCTTCAGTTTAAGATTTAATAAATTCTAGGTCTAAAAATAACAGGTCTAGGGGGCACTGCCCCCCTGTGTACGCCCTTGCTTTAAGACAAGTTCATTTTGGCAAGATTCAGGAAATTTGGTCAGAACCAAGCATTTGAAGGGGTTGTTAACGAATTTTGTGAAAACTGATAATATACCAATTGTATTTCAACTTTTACTTGTTTTATCAATTGAACGTTCCACATATTTTTGAACAGAATAGTCTTTACTTGTTCAATCAAGTGAACATTCCACATATTTTGAACAGAATAGTTCATACTGTATAATCAAGTGAAAATTCCACACATTTTGATCAGAATAGTTTATACTGTTCAATCAAGTGAACATTTCACACATTTTGATCAGAATAGTTTATACTGTTCAATCAAGTGAACATTCCACACATTTTGATCAGAATAGTTTATACTGTTCAATCAAGTAAACATTCTACATATTTTTGAACAGAATAGTTTATTCTGTTCAATCAAGTAAACATTCTACATATTATTGAACAGAATAGTTTATACTGTTCAATCAAGTAAACATTCTACATATTATTGAACAGAATAGTTTATACTGTTCAATCAAGTAAACATTCTACATATTATTGATCAGAATAGTTTATACTGTTCAATCAAGTGAACATTCTACACATTTTGATCAGAATAGTTTATACTGTTCAATCAAGTAAACATTCCACACATTTTGATCAGAATAGTTTATACTGTTCAATCAAGAGAACATTCTAAATATTTTTGAACAGAATAGTCAAACAGTTCAAAATCCATCTTGTAAATCTCATACAAACTATAAACCTAAATATTAATATATGTATGTACAAAATATAGGAAAAATAAGAAATACTATGAAATAAAAGTCCCCCCATATCTCTTTCTTAAGTGTAAAGAGGGGGGGGGATTGCGCCCTGCTTACCCTAAAGGGGTTTTTGGTAAAGCATCATCCCCCCCCCTTGTAAACCCCTGAGTTAGGTAGGCTAGACTCTGAGGTATTAATTTCAAGAGAACGCAGAAGACGACATTCAAACATTATTACGAAAAACGAAAAGAATTTTTTATAGGTTGCTTGCACATTGAAAATATATAATCATTTTAAAATGTTTATTTTCTACCTGAGCTTTGTTTAACTGTGAGAAATATTGTTTATAATCTTCTGGGTTAGATGGTTTATTTTCATCGACAGATTTTCTTTGGGTTCTAAATTAAAGAGGTAAAAAAAGCAATTCTTAAACTTAGGTTTACACATTTATATATATTTACAATGAATCAGTACACCTTGGATATTTTATACTCAGAGTTCAAAGTTTTGAAATTGTTTCGTGTTGAAAACATTCCTCGGCAAAACAGGAATTAGATATAACTACCTAATAAGTCTATAAGTATATATTTTGTGTGTCTGTCTGTTTGTTTGTAACTGATTAACGTTAAAACGGCTGAACCGATCGGGCCCAATTATTTTGAGGGAACTCGCATTACCTGACAATCCTGAAAATTACTCTCCAAAAAATAAAAATACTCTTACGTAATACCTTTAGATTTCAAATATGTACATTTATTAATAAAGGAGTTGAGTTTTCGCCACAAACTCTGATTTTCTAATTTCTATATCTTTGTAATCCAATGTCGTAGACCTTAGATATTTCAAACTATTAATACTTATAGATAAAAAGTTTGAAATATCAAAGGTTTGCACCATCAGTTTGCAAAGATATTTGGATCAGAAGATTTGAGCTTGTGGCAAAAACTCAATTCCTTTGTTGGCGTTATTTTAATACAAAAAAGAAGTTCAAAAGTAAACAAAGAGAATTTGTTAACTGATAGCTTTTTATTGTTGCCATGTGTATGTGTATCCAAGATGCTTGAAAAACTATAGGATCATGAGGGGGCATGCGCATCAATTTTTAGGGATCGACAATATAGGAATAATTATTTACAAGTGGATTGAATATCTAAAATTGTAGCTTTACCCTTTAACAACAATCTGTGGAAAGGAGAAATCTGACTGAGTTAAACCAAGAATACCTAGAAGGGATTTAAACTCAGAATCTAAACAAAAAAATTATTTATTTTAAGCCTGCATAATTTGTGGAGGGGGGGNAAGAATTTGTAATTTAAAATGAATAACTGAAAAATACAGTGTTCGGGTTTTCAATAAAAAGCATCATTCCTTAGTTAAGTGGCTTATTTGATAAACCATTATCTAAAAAATAATTATTTATTTTAATTTGTCTCAAGCCCCAGCTGCATTCGTAAGTCACTTTTTCATACATCCGCAATTATAAAAAAAGAAAAATATGAATATCCGAATATCCGAATAATTTTGGATAAGTGGTGTTTCGGGCATGGGTGACCTAAAGGTACGTCAACCCAGTAAAAATTACCTAAGTTTTCTGTCTGTAGAACTATATCTGGAATGTATGAGTGACTACACACCTCTGATGTCAACCAGATTGGAGCCCAGTGGATCAACAGTTGAGCCTGAATATAAAGTCCAATTTTAACAAGATTTTGTGAATTCCCCCGTCCCTTCTCAGTTCTCACTTAATTAAGATCTTAAATCCAAACTTTTGTGTGAATTATTGCTAATCTTTAACACTTGATCTCGATATCCAATTTAGGCGTTTTTAAAGGAATTATGTACAGGGTGTCCCAAAAAACATGGGAATTCAGTGATGAATTGGATATCGTCTTTTTTATGAATTAGCATAGCAATACCTGATTTCACAAGCCATAGTATTATTATGTCTGCTACAGTTTATTTTATAAAAAGGGTTAAAAACCGCAAAGATGTGTTTATAATGTCTCCGCAAGATGTAGACTGACAAGTTTACTCTGTTAGTTTTTTGTAATTTTCTTGTTTTACTAAGTACAACCTTATACAGTCATACCGTATATAGTATCACTATAGTAAATCAAAGAATTATTTAAAAAGACGATATCAAATTCGTCACTGAATTCCCATGTTTGCCAGAAACTCAAACTTTATAATTCCTATATCTTTGCAACCTGGTGGTGAACACCTGTGATAATACTTCAAACTTGTATTCAAAACAGAATTCATAGTTTTAAATATATAATGTTTCTACGACTTTGGGCAAAGATTTAATTTCTTTGAGGAGCAATGCTTGATCTATAGTTATCTATGCATGCAGGGTATGCATAAGAGGATATCAATAATTGATCCCAAAAAATAAAAATACACACATACAATTAATCTTATTCAAAAACTCAAATTTTCAAATTCCAATATTGTTGCAACCTGATGAACGTTTGCCGTTTTAAAGCTAGATTATTCAACATCAGAGTCTGCGGCAAAGTCTTAATTCCTTTGTGACTTCAGGTTGAAAAAAAATGATGCTTAGATCAATTAGTAATTTTAAGTTATTGAAATTATAGTCAACACTTCAATACAATATTTACCTCAAACATGAGATTTGTTTGGCCTTCATATATTTCTTCCAAAGTTAACTTTCTGAAATAAGAAATTGATTAAAATAAAGGCTATATATATATATATAATATATAATTTAAATAATTCCAACATAAGTTTGAATCAGGCACATCAAATGTTTGATTTTGAAAAATAATAGTGATATATCTAGCTATTGCATTTTTAAATAAGTCTAAGAATATTTTTTATTTGTTTTTATGAAACTTCTTATTGGATGTTGCATTAAGTTGATTTCGAATTTTCTTTAAAAACATATGAATTGAGTCTTTGCCACAAACTCTTTGGGGTGCAAATATATAAGAATTAGAAATCTCAGAGTTTGTGGCAAAGACTCAATTTCTTTAATATTCTTAGAAAGCTGGGACACTCATTACTTTAATCGGCTTAAACCTCTTTGATAAAAATGAAATTCCTGTCCAAAAAAACTGCTAAATAATAGTGTTAAAATCATTGACACTTACCTGAATAATTCTTGGTTAAGAACGATGTTGACAAAATGCTTCCAACTTATGTTTGAATAAAGTTTGGCAGTCTCTGCACTGTTCATCAAAAGTAAGAATTTTTACCATTTCTAGAAAACTAAACTTTTAGAGCGCTTCGCGCCCATCTACTATTAAACGCTGAATTGTTGTTTTATCTATGAGCATTTTCTCCTTGTACGTCTCTTTGTACAATATAAAACAATAACAAAAAAGTTCGCGATTTAATCATAATTTTTTTGTGGATTTTCAAATTTTTACGAAAATCAAAAGGTTTTAGAATCAACATTTTGTATTTCTGAGCATTCATAAAACCTTCCCTGGAGTCATGTGAGTTTTTAAAATACAAGTAAAATTTTTTTTCTTTTAATAGCGTAAACGTTTATTTTCAGCTTCAGTGTTTTATTTTCATTTTACATTATTTTTATAAATTCTAAATCGTTCCTTATATCATCTTCCAATAGTTTGAGGGGAACCCATCCTTCAGTAAGAAACAAATGCCTAACATCAAATCATTATTATATAGAAGTATTGAAAAGCCAAGATTGAGTGGAATAACAAAACATGGGTTGAACACCACATATATTTACATTATAACTTTACAAACGATTAGTTTTGGACCAACTAAAGTTGATCTAAATACACATGACATTTTCCTGGGGCGAATATATTTACATTTGACTCTTCTGATTAGATGGTGCTTGCTGACTGCCGAGTCCTAGGGGACCCAGGGGATAAGATGGCTTTCTTTGCCGCAAGATAAATGTCGTTTCACTCCTATCTCCAGCATAGATCTTACTTTAGCTGCCCTTTTAACCACTCTTTCAATGGGACTGACCTGCTTCTAGATGAGAAAGGGGGTTCAATACCCTTGTCCCCATACACTGTTATGTATTTAAGGCTGCAAACATACTCTGGTTCAATACCATTTTGGACTAAATCTGGATTGTGTGGCTTTTTTCTTAGATCGCATTTGTTAGTAATTATTTTTCAAACTGGGCGCAATGAACTTATGTGATACTATGTACATGTGGATGAACCCTTGCAGTTGGGTTCACAGCTATTACAGATAATTCTAATATTATAATGTTAAAAAACTTTTAAAAAGATCTGATTTTAAAATCTTAAATATTTTACCTGTAGGCTGAAACTAATCGTTCTGTAAACCTCAAAAAACATGAAATGAGTTTTAATTGTCATGGCTTTTTTTTAATTTGAGGAAATTTTAATTTAATAATAAAAATATTAATAAAATGAAAAATGTTTCAAAGTATTTCATGAATTCCCAAAAGGATGTCGAACTTGAAGAATCACTTTTTCAGTTTCTCTATTTATTGAGAAATGAATTTAATAGATTTTTAATTTTTGGAGGAAATTTGTCCTAAAGAGAATTTTTAAAGGGATTCTGGGCTTAATTTGTGACCCCCCCCCCTTTTTTTGATTATGAAAGAGTGAATGAATTGTTTATCTTCTAAACATTGTTGAATTTCAATAATGGAAAACCGACGTTATCTTTCACATATTTGATCTGATGAAGGTTTAAAGTGAATAGAGTATGGTCATTTGTAATTGAATATTGTTTATATTTTAATATATATAAACTTGTTATATTTTCATCAATATTCCTTTCTGCACAGCCATGGCTGCATCCTCCTGAGGTAGACAAGAATATATCAATTTATTTTGAAATAATTCGCAAAATATTCATAATAAAATAAACACGATGTTAAAAACTGTGATTTAAAAGAAAATTCTCATTTTTGTATAACATCTATCAAAAAATGAATTGTCTTTTTCTCACGGTACATCCAGGGAGTAAGGAATAGAAGGGAGATATAACTGACTCGGCCCACCATATGATTATACATGCTTTGCAGACGGGACCTCCATTTGTATAAGAAATATTCAGAAAAGGTTATTGTATACGCGGTAATTGTACATCAGACAAATATTTCTTATTCAAATGGAGTACCCGCCTGCAAAGCATGTATAATCATATGGTAGGGCGAACCGCGTCAGTTATATCTCCCTTATATTCCTTACTGCCTGAGTACATCACAATAATAAAGTATGATCCCCTTTACAATTTCTTCTTTTTTATAAAGTGAAATGAACTCGGGAATGTAAAGTAAAGCTGATGCTGAAATAAATTCGGGAATGCATGACAGATTGCATCAGAGAATTGATTTAGAGAAAATAAAATAATTTTCAAAATTTTTTTTCTATAAAAGGATGTTTCAGAGCCCAGAGGTTGTTTAGCACAAATGTGGAAAGCACACCTGCAGTATGGAAACAGTACAACAAAATGGCCGTTTTACACCTTTTTCGAGTAAATTCGAGTATTCTCTTTGGGTTTTATCCAATTATTATTTTATCGTTTTTATTTTATTTTTAGTAGATACAATAGATAATATTTTTTATGTCCGTATTATGTCACAAAAACTCGCACCAAAATGGCAGTTTAACACTTTTTTCGACTTAATTCCACTCTATCTATTCTCTTTTCATATTTCTCAATAATCAAACCATAATAATTCATTTAAAATTCTGCGTCAAAAATCTAGAAAAATGATAAACCTACCTATCGTTGCATTGAACTGTGAATATGTCAAGAAAAATTTGCGAGTGCTAGTTGATCCAGCTTTATACGGTGTACTCAGTAGATACTGTTTATCCTGCAATAGTTAAATTAATTTCAATATTCAATTTTAATAATTCATAAAGTATTTTTAACCTACCTTCACATAGAAGTAAATTGACTGGTGAGGATTGTAGGTGTTCCCACTGAAAATTTTTATTTTCATTTAAGTTGTAATGAAAAAAACGGAAAATTTTAAATTCCATGGAATTTTTGTCAAATAGAATAAAACAGTTTTGAGGTCTCGAATTTCGATGCCGGCCTTCACGCCGTGTACAAAATTGAAGAGAAATAATAAAGAATCAAATATAAATCGTTGTGGAAAAAAGATTTTAATAATTTAGAATTTAGATAAAGAAGCTTATTCTTAAACTTAGTCATTACATNTTACAAAGCTTAGCATATTCATAATTTGTAATATAAAACTTTCCTTTTGTGAATGCTATAGTACTCTGCTCTGTAGGGGTTATTATACTTCTCACACACTGCCTTAAAAATGACATAATTTGTGTCATGTCGTCTTCAATATTTTTAAGTGACTATTGTGAACATAAGGCTTTATTTCTCAATACAAAAGCTAGTATTATCAGAAGCTGTCAAAGGTTTAGTCTCGCAGCTTCAAATGATATTTGTAATTTACATAAAACTTTATCAAAATTTTGTGTTGAAAGTTTTCAAAAAATAAAAATAACCATATTTTTATGGTTGTAAAACTAAATAAATATGCTGAACAGTTTCTGAACAGGAGAAGGACAATAAAACATGAGGAGTATTGTATTCCTATTTATGGGATATGGGAAGTCTAGGAAGAAATCATCGTCATTGGATTACTATTGGAGACCCCTTTCATCAGAACTCACAAGATGTTCATTGGAGACTTCTTCTGAGACTCGATGTATGGTATAAAAATTCATGTTCAGCGTAATTATTGTTATGGTTTTGAAATCCCTTTTTGGTTTACAAGGAATGCTTTTGTATGCGTAGTAAAAAAATTCTTTTAAGAGCATAATATTTTATTTTTGTTTTTACTAACCTTTATTAAACGAGTTCTCTCTGTAAATTTGTCCAAATTTTCTTTATCAGGATCTTAATTTACAACAATGAATTAAAATAAAGTTTACTATTATAGCACAAAACTACGCGTACAATTTTCTAAAAGTTTTTGATGATCAACACCAAAAAAAAACACAGAAATGGGTAAAAGAATTATGGCTATAATTACATTTTAACAATTTCTTTTCTGCAGTACAATAACTTGAGTACAATAAATTTGCAGTAAAAAAACCTACAGCTCAATAACAATTGCAATACAATAAATTTTATATTGCAATAGCTACGGTTGTACAATTCAATCTGCATGGCGTCCGTACAATAAAATCTTTAATACCAAAAAAAAATGGCATCTATTTATAAATTTTGTTTGTCTGTTTGTTTTTAAACGTAAAAGCAACTAAACCGATTGGGTAACATTTTTTGTGGGACCTCACGTAATCCTCAGGGAAGGTTTACTGATGCTTAGGAATGAAACAAATTTAAATTCTTGTTTTATTTTAGTAACATACATCTATCAGCTATTCTACAATTTAACCTAAATTACACAATGACATCTGCAATGCAGAAAAGGTTAATAAATATGATAATTATATTACTTACTTTTGTGTAAATTTGAATAATTCGATGAATATTCCTCTGAGTTTGTATTTGTTGCTTTTAACGGACTAGATTGTGTGAGGAAAAATAATGTGAAAACTAGAAAAGATAGAATACATGAATTTTTTATTAGACTGAAGAAATAAAAATACTACATCACAATTCACAATTGATTTTCTGCAAACAAAAAGAAATTATTTTAATACTTAATATATACCCATGATTGTTTTCTTATTTAACCCTATAAAGGTCGGGGGGTCTGAATCTATGTATAGTCTGGGGGGCGTTCAAAGCCCGCCCTAGAAAAGGCCTTATGAGAATAGGTATAGTGTTGCAATGCACGTTCATACTCATAGGCAATTTTTTCAAGTCCTGCTCATTGAAAAAATATTTTTTTTGGGTGCTATGGAGGGCTGAAAAAATGCAAAAATAGGGTAAGAAAAATGTAGCAAAAAGCATTTTTTTTGTTTTAAATAAATATCAAACTGTGAAACATGTTTCTAGATTTAGTTTTCAAGGGCTTTTTAAAATATATTTTTTAGATCTGTAGTTGTAGTCACAAAAATGTCCTGGGCTATTTTAGGTTTTTTTACATACCTGACTTTTTTCTGCCCTAAACTCTACCCTATGCATAAAAAAAAAATTACAAAAATTTCTTTAAATTACTTACTATGTAAATGTAAAAAAATGAGAGTGCTAAGACAAAAAAAAAGAGGGGGGTGGGCGCCAAAAACCCCCCCAGCCTTTTAAGGGTTAAAAAATCGTGAAAAATACTGAAATAAAAAGTTTGTAAAGGTCTTAATATTAAATATTTAATGTGTTCTTTTCCTGGAAGAATTATAAAAGTGCTTGCTATTAACCTCCATCGCGTTATCATTTTGTATCTAAAAACATTTAGACTTTTTATCTTAAATTAGAGATCAATAATTTAAAATAATTGTTTTCTCAACTAAAAAAAAGCAAGTCAATGTTGTTTGAAAAAAAAACTGGTATTCAGTCAGTAAGATCTAGAAATTTCCAGAACATTAAGACCACTTTTCACTCATTTTATGATTTTAAATAGTCCACTGAACAGAAAACACAACAATTGTGCAGTGTTAACAGACATATGTAAATTAATGACTAACTAGTTACTAGTAAACATAATGAAGACGACTTTCGATTTCACTTTTGATTTATATCGAGCTTTTAAACAGCATGGACACAAAAACTCTTGGAAAAAAAGAGAAGCTGTCAATTAATAAAACTATTTTTTTAATTACTTGTAAAATTGCTATTCGTAAAAAACTTTTTAACAATTAAAATTAAAATTTAAAAAAATCTGAATTGTATTGATATTATTGCCTACCACTGTGACAGCATTATTTGCTTTGTAACTACATCAAGTGTGTATATATAATAATATAATGTCGTTTTCCTATTCCAAAGTATTCTGGTTTTCACTGTACACACACCATCTCATCATCTTATTCCACCGAAAAAATGTTTTTTAGTTCACGAGTCTGCGCGTCTATCTGCGCGCAGTGGAATTATAGTGAGGGTATACTAGCGGTGTGAACACCGAGAGCGTGGACTGAAAAACTCTCCGCAAGGAAGTGATGACGGTTAAGAAATTTTTAATTAAAATTGAAGCTGTAAAAAAATGTTCTTTAAGACAGGAAATAAATGATCAGCATTGACCATACTAAGAGGGGTGTACTGTTTATCCTGCAATAGTTAAATTAATTTCAATATTCAATTTTAATAATTCATAAAGTATTTTTAACCTACCTTGTTTGGCCTTCATATATTTCTTCCAAAGTTAACTTTCTGAAATAAGAAATTGATTAAAATAAATGCTATATATAGATATATAATATATAATTTAAATAATTCCAACATAAGTTTGAATCAGGCACATCAAATGTTTGATTTTGAAAAATAATAGTGATATATCTAGCTATTGCATTTTTAAATAAGTCTAAGAATATTTTTTATTTGTTTTTATGAAACTTCTACTTTATTTACTACTTGGCAAGTTTTCTTATTTAGCGCAGGTGGAACAATGAGAATGAAAAGTGATTTCTGTCATATAAACGTTTCAAAGCCCCAGTGTCCTTTTCCCTCGTGGACCAACATTCCCAAAGTTCGTTGGATCGTTTTCACTTTTTCGAATAAAATAGTTTTTGAAAGACGGTCGTTCAAAATACATTTTGTTGTCGGAAACTCAGAGGTTAGAAAACATTCATTCCTGAAAAATATTTAGATTAATTGTCAGATTCATTAGCAAAATTTTTTAAACGATCATTTAAAAAAACGATAGTTTTTCGTTTTTAAAAAGTTCAAAGCGAGTGTTTCGTTTTCGAAAACGATTTTTTTTAAAAAACGAAATGATCGTTTTTAGAAAAAGAAAGACGAAACGAAAAACTCTCGTTTTTAAAAATGATTAACAACCCTATCCCAAAGGTGCCAAAAGGTGGCAACAAGCAATTTTTAAACATGCATCTATACGCATAGCATTACTTTGCAACCTGCAATAATATTCTAGGAAACTGCATCAAAATGTGAAAAATATTCATTCTACATTGATTCAAGATTTAATAAATCCTCGTCAGTAACCCTATACCTCGAAATACCATGTTGATGCCAATATGACAAATGATACATCATTGGAAAGCTCTTGTGCTCTACTTTTAGAATTTTAAAAAAAATTTCATTTGCAAAAATTAAATTTCTTTTTCAAAATCCACTGATAAAGTAAAAAATGTTTGCAAATAAAAAATGTCCAAAAAATTTTAGAATATACATTTAAGAACATTTTAATAACCTGATGTGTAATTAAGAAAAACTGAAAAGAGCAACTTTCTTTTGACGGGTTGTAAGTAGGGTTGTTAAACGTTTTTTAAAACGATCGTTTTTGTCTTGTTTTTCAATCGTTTTCAAAAACGATTAACAACCCTACTTACAACCCGATTGTTTTTAAAAACGACTCGAATAACGACCGTTTTTTTACGAGTGTTTTTTAAAAAACGATCACTTTTCAAAAAAACGATCGTTTTTGAAAAAAAAATTATTTACAATTATGTTAACGATCGTTAACGAAGGGTCGTCGTAAAAAGCAAAATTTTGCAAATATTTTTTTTCTCACAAACCTTGTAAATTCAGTTTCCGTAAAGCTTAAAATTATCAAAATCTAACAACTGTAAGTGGGTCAAAACAAAGATTTAGTTTATTACAGGAAAAAGTAATCATTCAAGCAGTGTTCCTGAGGACTAAGGCAGTTAGTATAAAAAAGTGAGGACTATGGGTATTTTGGAAAGGTCAGAAAATTTCAAGAGCCTCAGATCAAACACTTTTTGAGTTAAGTAAAAAAACTACAGGAGAGGAGGGATAGTGTTAATAACTAGGCAACCTGGATCGACATGAAATAAAAACATCTTTGTCTATAGATGTAACAAATATAAATTTGGCTATATTCACTTAAATTTACAAAACTGCTTAAAAAACATCTTTAGATCTGTTTCAAAATAATTATAATTTAAGAATCTGTGGAGTAATATTTAGGGACCCTCCGTTAATAAAATTGCATGGCCGATTCATAAATGTAAACTTTTAAATTTTGCTTGAAATTACGTGTTTAGTTGGTTCAAGTCAAGTCAGATACTCTATTGATCTCCATGACTGTACTGCTTGTTGAAACATGGCGTAAATTTAGTGAGAGTTTGGCTTTCAGAGATCTTGAAAGTCATCATTTGGAGTAGATAATACTTCAGGGGGCGTTTTTTGGTCATGCCCCTTACTTAATGCTAATAGCTAGATTTTATATCTTATTGTCTGAGTCATTAGGCATACAGCCTAAATTGTATCAGTTACTTAGAGCCATCTAGTCTGTACTAAAAATGTTAAATTTGTTTTAATATTCAATAGTTCTAAGGAGCAGTAGTTCAAATTACAGTTTTCCAAATTATCATCTACTTCTCTCTTTTAGCCTGGTGTTCTAATAGTCTAGCCGTGCCTTTGCTGTCTTATCTAGTTAATTGAAATATCTTTAGTTTCTATGTACATTGAATAAAAAGAATGATCTGTCCTAGCTAGTGCAATTTAATATCTTTAGTTTTGTATTTAAAGTAAAAATATATCCTCTGTCCTTTCTACTGTAGTTTTATGTCTTAAGTTTGTGTATTTTATTTTAAATTGAATCCTCTATTGTTTCAATGTCTTTAGGTTGCGCATTTGAATGAGAAAATAGATCCTCTTTTCTATCGTATATCATCTAATGAGTTATAATATTTTTGGTTTATGTAAACATTGTATAAATGAATCTGCTGTCCTGTCTAATGTTTTATGGTATTTTTGAAAAAAAGCCTCTCTCCTCCAATGATTAGTAAATTCTTATATTTTTTGGTTTTCCTTTTCATTACGGTAAATATATCTGCTGCCTTGTCTAGTGAATTTTAATATTTACATATTACATATTCATTACCGAAGAAAGATCTGTTGTCCTATCTGGTAAATTACATGAATTTTATTGTACATCTTCATGAAAATAGATTTTTTGTCTTGTCTCGTGAATTCTAATATCTTTATTTTAAATATTCATCATTGAATATAGATTTGTTGTCTTGTCTAGTGAATTCTAATATCTTTATTTTACATATTCATCATTGAATATAGATCTGTTGTCTTGTATAGTGAATTCTAATATCTTTATTTTACATATTTACCATTATCTGTTTCTTGTCTAGTGAATTCTAATATCTTTATTTTAAATATTCATCATTGAATATAGATCTGTTGTGTTGTCTAGTGAATTCTAATATCTTTATTTTACATATTCATCATTGAATATAGATCTGTTGTCTTGTATAGTGAATTATAATATCTTTATTTTACATATTCATCATTGAATATAGATCTGTTGTCTTGTATAGTGAATTCTAATATCTTTATTTTACATATTTACCATTATCTGTTGTCTTGTCTAGTGAATTATAATATCTTTATTTTACATATTCATCATTGAATATAGATCTGTTGTCTTGTATAGTGAATTCTAACATCTTTATTTTACATATTCATCATTGAATATAGATCTGTTGTCTTGTATAGTGAATTCTAAT